TACAGTAATCAAGCGCTGGATTATCCGTTGGAACACATGGACATAATGTGCGTTTTTATATGTATTTAGCCGCACCACGCGTGTCTGTTTTATAATTAGAATTGACCGTGTTATTGGGTCATTCACGATTCCCTCGAAAGTTTCCGCACACGCTGCTAACATCTTAGCGTAGCTTAGATTGTACGTCTCAAAAAATAAAAATTATACCTATTCAATTTTAACATCGCCTCAATTATAAAAACAGCGCAATAATTATTTTTACTTCATTAATTTATTCATATTTACTTGTTAATTTTAAAATTAATTTGTTATCAATGATAATGATTAATTTATTAATTAATTTAATCAGTTGATTTCCAAAGTAAAAGCTGACATAATTATTTTTTACTTACCTGGTATTCCAAATTTTTCCACTTCGTGTTGGAAGAAAATCATTTGGTACAATTACTTGTGCTTTTATATCACAAAATATACGACAAATATATTGAGCAATAAGTTACGAAAACTAAAAAAAAAACTTTTGATAGTTGTCAATGTGGTCGCAACATCGACTCAATGCAACAGTCTAGGCGCTGCTCAGTGTCAGTGTATAGAGCCACATCGCCCGCTTGTGATAACAACTTTGTTTGTAAACCATATATAACCAATTCACACTCTCTGATCCCCTGCCTTGTAGATAATTATTATCTTATTATAATTAATGCATCGAGGAAAATGATTTTACTTCGAATGCAATAATTAATTGCTTCAATTAAAAATATATTTTTTAAATTATTTCTCACAAACTATCTTACTTACACTTACACGTAACTAATTTACTCTAAAAATAATATCTTAACAGTGTCGTAAATAAAACGTTTCTTAACCCAGCTTTTTTAATTAGTTTTTATTTACAGCTGTTGAATTATCAGTTAATAATATATGATACATAATGTTCATATAAAAAAAATTACACATACAAAGTATGTTATCTTTAACATAAACATAAAGTGTGACAATAACACAGACAGATGACACCCCGACTGTGATTGAACTCCGTTAATTACTGATGTACGAGTAGATGCAATTAATAATTAAACATTGCGGTCTTTTGTTCTTGTTTATTGTAGACATTGTTTTAGCCAGCGCGTGTCTGCGAGACGCGGCGACCGCAAGAACACGCGTGCGTGTCCACGTGCCCCTCGTAGCTCCACAATAATTAACAACTATTTCCCTCTCTATTAATTCTAAGAAGTAAACACATTGTAAATAGGAAAATATCTAGAAAAAAGTATAATAATATAATAAAAAACCGCAGCACCGAAAATAAAACATAATCGGATGGGTTTCATAACAATAAAAAAGTTATTGTATGTTGTTATTAAACTCGTATGAAAATTAGTGTAGAGCACGAGGGCGACAGTTTGATAACATTGATTGGACTCAATGTACGAGTACAGTAAACGTGATGCCAACGAGCTCAGTATCGGCTTACCGCATGTCCATACGCTTAGTTTTTGTTGGTACAACAGACACTCCGCACAGAACAAGGTCCTCATATGTTTAACACCCGGCGTGAGCTACAAATATTTAATACTACTTTCGCCCGCAACTCCACCTGCGTGAAATAAAAAAAATAAACTAAAGTGACTATCCTCTACGTCTATGCCAAATTCATTTGAGATCTGTTCAGCAGTTTAGGCTACAAACTCTAACAAACATCCACCTAACCTTTCGCATTTATCTAACTGCGGTATTGCAACATCGATGTGACAGGATGATCGTAATAGATAGATTAGACAATACAAACAAGTGGCCTGCGAGCCCTCGTGGCGACCTGCTGCGCCCGTGGGAGCCAGAGCCCTATGCCGCCACATCGCCACATCGCCACATCGCCATGCCGTCAGCTACACTACCACGCCACCAGCGCGGAGCACCAATCGATAGTTCAGTGACACGGCTCGCCCTTCAATGAGGTCACACTCCGTACGGCCACATAAGTAAGGACAATACTATGATAGTTTGTTGTCAACTGATATTTTGATATACCAAATTCGGTGAATGTATGGCAACGACTTCTTTGACCGTACACAAACCGTAACAAAAACATAAGTGCGCTTTTTAGTAGTCTGATTCGATATGAAAATGTACAAAAAAAATCAATTTCACTTTCATTTATAAATATGTGCATTAAAGTTGGTTTTCCAGGAAAACAAACTAAGGAAAGAAGAGAAATAATGTGTAATCTAGTAACTTAGCAGTTTCCTAAATATAACTCAGTTTTATAACCTTTGTAATGATTCAGCGCTTGTTTGTGCTTAGTAACACGATGTGAGGTGAGGCATGTAGCAAGGCGGGGGTAACAAATATTGCCGAAGTACAATCGCGGACTTCCGCAGTGTTCCACTTTAAGAAGATTGCCTTGTTCATTGCAACGAGACAAACTCTGCCTCTTCCTACAAATCACTCGTTAGATAGCAGTAAGTGCTAACGAAAGGATAATAATAAAAAGTAAGTAGCCGTGTATCACTAACCGACTTTTTTTTAGTATAAGCTGCGTAAACATCAATATGTTTGTTTCGCGTTTTGTTTCCAAATATTCAAACGGTTGTAGCTTTTATTGTGGAACACCGCCAGTTTTCCCGATTGTACATACGTTAACTGCCGATTGACCTTGCCCAGACCGCGGCCTTGCCGGGTCATGTTTCAATTACCATTTTCGAAAGCCGAAAAAGAATTAACTACTTTACTTGGCGGAGAAACTAAATTCAATTACTTAAGCCTTTAACTTAAATAATGCGAGCGATATGAAACAAATGGAGAGGCTATAATGTAAAAAAATGTATTAGCATGGTTGAGTCGATTACGTAACAAACCAATTTTAAAATATTCCAAATCGATATTAGTCATTGACATTGAAATAGAAGAGGCGCCCATCGCAGTATCGCCACATCGCAAAGTTTATAAGCGTTTTACTACTGCAATAAATATCATAAGAGTACTCGCTCGTATCTGCTCTGTGGCCGTCATCGAGCTACACCGCGGCCTTCGACACATCTGCAACACATAAGATATTACAATAAAAATATCCACGATCGTTTGAGTTAATACGAAAATACGAAAATGAAACAGTATACAGTTTACCTTATTTCCCAATATCTCTTTAGCTTATAATTGGCTAACCAGGGCAATAACATTTTGTCCATATAATATAAAAAATGTCAACAATATTATAATAATTCGTCGTCTGGTGAATCAATCAGTTGGTTTTCCTCATAATTAGAAATTCTTTGAACACGCATTTATGTAGGTCAATTAAATAAATAACACATGTTAGTAATTCGCAGTACAAATATGTTGCACAAAATAACGCAAGAGAAGACCAATTTTTATTATTATGAAATACATCTGCCGACATCTGAAGCTTTTGATAAATTAATGTAAAAATGTCCTAGTTGTTTAATCCACGTTTGAGATTGAAAAAACTGGCAGGATATTTGAGAATGATTAATAGCGTTTATAAATATAACTACTAATTAACGAGGAAAGAAATGTAATCCATGCTAGGGCGCTGACATCGTCGGCTATTCGTAATAAATGTAGATCATCCGATCCCGTCCCGGCGGCTCCAGAAATATAACTCCGGAATTTTTGTCCACGTATTCTTAACACATTGAAATTTTAATTCTATCATTCGTTGGTAACTGAAGTTTTAAAAAGAAACACTTGGACAACAGCCTTATACAGATAAATTAATCTCAAGACGATATCTCTGTAATTCCAAGGTAAAAACAGACAGACTGGTTCTCTATTTTCGGAATCGACCTCAGTCAGACCCGGTTGAACAATGTCACAAAAGCCAGCTACACTCAAGCTTGCTTCAAGAGCAGTTAAAACTAAAGATGTGTAGCTGGCTTTATTTGGCAATAAAATGGGAATCAGTACAGTAGGTAATTAATTTAATATTCGGTTATACGTGATTTATTACAAATAATTGGAAATACAGTAATTCACGATTTCCTGTCGGCGATGACGTCAATTAAAAAACTTCTTACAAACATGGATACTAAAATAACATATTTACTGTAATCTACTACGTAAACTTTAAGCCTCCGAGTTATTTAAAAACAAACAATAGTAATGGTAAACTAAGTTTTCACAGGAATTGTTTTAAACTAAGATTTTTATTACTCTCCTTTGTGTAAATGTATACTTAATATTGCTTATCCCGTTGGGTTATAACATAACTAAGTACTTACTTAATTATAATATGACTTAAGAAAAATGTACAACTATGGATATTTTATAGGGCAAACTGATTTCTCTTATTCGTTACCCGACAGACTTGTATACTAAAACTCTTTGTTAATATTTGGCTCAAATGATTATAAGAATTCTTTCTTCGAGTCGTAAAACCTTTTGTTTTCAAATCTTCCCATCCCGACTACCTGAAGGCTGTCAGTAGCTACTAGCCATCGGCGTGTAACAATTTACAAATTTAAACATGCGTACAACTTCATCAAGTAAAGACGTTCCGCAAACGGATGTAGTTTTTGGTGCTGTGCTGTGTGTGACTCTTGTGTTTTATTTCCATTGCATCGATAGTGTCTTGGTCCCGTCGTACTACATTCAGTCATCTGCGATAATAGGTAAACCTTTGAGAACATTTGTAAAAGTTTATATCAGGATGATCGATTATAGTTAAATTAAACATTAAAATAAAACATGCTGATTAAAATTTCTTATTGCATTGTGCATACACACAAAATTCATACAAAAATAGTGCTGTTAAAAGTAAATGCATTTAATATTAATATTCGGTACTCCATAGAGTTTGTTTATATTCAAGGCAATGTCCGTACAGACCGTTCGCCATAATTACTAATATTATTCATAGAGTAAACTAACTGCGTACATACAAATCAGTAATGTTTGGCTGGCCGCGCCGCCGCGCCGCCGCGCCGCCGCGCCGCTGCACCGCCAGCTAGTGGAAGATTATGCTTATCTGCCATCAGGTGTTGGCGTCCCGACTGCAACCCGCGCTCCCTGAATATTAACAAGCCTGCACCTAACATTAGGCGTAATACTAACCATTACGTCTGTCCGGATGTATCACAAGCATTTATATTTTTATTATCCTTTATCTTCGAAGTTAATAACAACAGTTACAGCTAAGTCGACGTGACTCAACTAGTATTCTGCTATTATTTGGATGCAGTAGAGAGTCTCGCGGCTGCAGTTTTATATGCGTTTTGGAATGTGATTGCATGTTTTAAATCTTGATGGAACTATATTATGGGTTATTTTATTTTATCAGTCAGTAAAGAATCTAAGTACAAGCTATAAATGAATATTTAATTATGAATAATTAAATATTCATTTATGGACTCTACATTCAGTGTTCCGTAACAACCTTCGCCTTATTTTTATGCAAAAAATATGACACCTGTCAAGAGTTGACAGATGTCATGTTAACCATTATCATCGCTTTAATTATAATATGCATATAAATCTTAAGTTTTACTGCTTTTCGGACTAGACAAATAATAAGATAAAGTTATTAATTGTAACATATCATAAAACGTAAGAATTTTTAAACTCCATTCTTTTAACTTTGTAATCGTGTGATAATTTTAACTGTTGTGTACATTCATCAGTAAATAACAATTTTGGAGCGATAATCGCTTTTTAATTCACTAAAAAGATTAAACTGGTTAATTTTACTTTGCAAATGTACACAAGAAGTTTAACAACATCAATAAGCATACCTTACGTGTAAACATTTATAGGAGTAACTACGCCTGAAAATAGACAATAAAAATGCTTATTATACAGCATGTTCTAGAACGAATATTTAAAAGTAATCAGCTGTTTACTTTATCTTGTACAGACGTGTAGAGCAATAGTGGCTTAATCGGTCGGTCGCAACCACGGAATCCGGAATTGCATATTTTTTACAAAATTATGTTATCTAGCTAAACTTCTATGTTTGTCCACTTTTAATACCAAATATTTAGAAATACCATTTAAAAGTTAAGAGATAGTGTTTTCAAGTTAAGATTCAATTAATGATATAAATATTGTAGATAGTTGTTGACGAAATTTATTACTGGTATAACTAAAATAATAGGGAGTAAATAAATTATGAAATAACTCTATGTATAACATTTATTTATTTACAATAATCCTGGACATCCTAAACCTAGTTTATAAATCTGGAACATCCTTAATACCGACAGCTATAAGACAATATGTTTCCGGACAATCAAACTAAACCACAATTAATTAATTGTCATACAAATATTTCCCGGTAAAATATTTTAAGGGAATACCGCGCTGTGCTATAAATAAACTTGCGTTTTCCTCCTGAATTTCGTTATATATTGTTTGATCTGAGTGTTGGTGTTCATTGCGGCCGCAGATGCCGTGGTGATGGCCTGCCTCGCCGCCGCGAGCCGCCGCCCCGGGAGATGACCGCGCCCGCCGCACCTCGCCATGGCGCCACATGCGCACGATACCGAAGAGGTACGCAATTAAACATACCAGCTCGGAGGAACTTAAATCTATATACAACATCGCACTTAGGTTTATTTTAATTTACAAAAATAAAAGACTTACTACTAAGTATTTGTATCGATAAGCGATCATACTGACAAATGTGTATTTGATTGTTATTTTCATAAAAAAAATTGCAAGTGTTATCTAATCTGTGTACTTAGAGTTACAACTTAATTAAAATTCTTATCGACTAATGTTAAGTCAAAATGTAAAAAAGCTTGGAAAGGCTAATTTTAATAAAAGTCTGCCGGATCTCCAGGTGGAACGGTTGAATGGCGAAGACTCTCTGGTGGAGCCAGTGCACCAGGGCCGGCGCATCCAGCCCGAGGGCCCGCCGGGGCAGGCCGCGCGCGCCTGGCTCGAGCACGAGCAGCCGGAGCGCGGGGGCGACAGCCGCACCAGCAGCCCCGGGGAGAGCCGGCGCCTGCTCGGCCCTGCGCCCCTGCCGCCCGGCACCAAGCCCCGCCTCCAGGCCGGACTCACCCTCGGCGTCTGGGCCGTGTCCAAAGATAGTAAAAAGAAATCACAAGAAAAAAAGACTAAATGCCAGCTCGCGAACGTCACGAAGAGAACGAAGACGAAGTTCCAAAAGAGAAAAGAAAAGCTAATCGCGGTTCTTAAACCGCCGTACTTCATACTCACCATGATTATTATCATAGTAAGTGCGCACTGCTCACTATCCCGCGGGCACTCGGCTCTTTACATATCTTTTATTTTCTCAATGCACATTAAATCGGTTTCTCAGAAGTGCATATTGTTATTGCAGATCTGTGTGCACGTGTGGGGCACGGAGGCGGTGCGCGCGCAGCTGGAGTGGGCGCCGGGCGCGTGGCGGCGCGCGCCCTGGCGCCTGCTCACCTACGGCTGCGTACACGCCACCAACGCTCACCTCGCCCTCAACGCACTCGTCGCACTAGCGGTCAGTACAAAATTAAACTTTGATTCTAAAACAAATTAAATCATTTATCATGTTGCTGTCCTTTATTCTACATTGATTTCTATCTAGTTAGTTATTGTATTGTAGTTTATATACGTATTTTGCATACTTTATTATTTTGTATGCTTATGATGCATGCAAGCAGTGTTGGCAGTACCAGTGTGCGCAGGTGGGGTGGCGGCTGGAGCGCGAGCAGGGCTGGGCGCGCGCGGCGGGCGTGTGGTGGGGCGGCGTGGCGGCGGGCGCGCTGGGCGCGGGCGCGCTGCAGCCGCACGTGCGCGTGGTGGGGGCCTCTGCCGCCGTGTACGCACTGCTCACCGCGCACCTGCCCAACGTCTGTCTCAGGTTACTGTTCTCAATTTATAATCAATCACAATCATCATAAGGTGTCTCGGTCTCGGACGTTCTTGCTCGTACTGCAGCTAGTCCTTTCAACAGACCTGTCTAAATTGTTCAGATTCGGACACGTGCCGCTGTGGTGGTTCCGTCCGCTGAGCGTGCTGGTGCTGGGCGCGTCGGAAGCGAGCTGGGCGCTGCTGCGCGCGCCGCCTACGCCCGCCACCGCCGCCACCTACGGCCACGTAGCGTGGGCGGCGCACGTGCTCGGCGCCGCCGCCGGCCTGCCGCTCGGCTTCCTTATCTTCAACGGTACGTTGTTATGATGAAATCAAAACTGTCCGTTTGCCTTCACATTTCTAAGCTAATAATGTGTTCCTATTTGATATCGTGTTGTGCTTTTTAAACAATTAGATACGTTTATTGTTGCAGGTGAAAATTCCAAGGAGCGGTACATAGTGTGCGCGCGCGTGGTGTCGGCGCTGGCGCTGGCGGGCGGGCTGGCGGCGGCCGCGCTGCACCCCGCGCTGTGGCAGGCGGAGGACCAGCTCACGTGAGACACGGCCGCCGAGGTGCCGCACTCACACGAGGACATAGCGACTTAATAACACTGAATGTAGTTAATTGCTTTCAAGACTGATATTTCTAAAGTGCTCTGTCCGTCCGCAATTATCTTAACTAGGCGTAAAGTGTATTTGAATTTGTACTCAGATGCCGTGAGGACGCTTAGTGTTGCATGATCAGTAAACATTGAGTCAATAAAAACATCATAATCATCGAGTTGTAGTATAGATACATCGATTTTACTAGCCAATAGTTGTATCGTGGCTTTAACAAATGCCATCACGATTGTACAGTTATGCCTAAACCAGGATAAAGCTTGTCCTTGCCCATTTCCTAAAACCGACGTAACGCTCATAATAGCCAGCGGTTGTATGTATGTATGTATGTATGTGACTATTTTTATAGTACAAAAACTGAGAGAACATTAATAAGTAATTAGTTGCTAAGATCTTCCTTGTTTTGTGTATTGTGTATAAATGTACTGTAGATAATGTTTACAAAAGTTGGTACTATTGTAAGTTTTTGCATGTTATTTAGGAAGTGACAAACTGAACTGGTTTACATATTAATATAGTAAGTAAGTGTGTTTATACAAAATACAACTACTACGTTTTACTCAAGTACAATTATCGGTTGACAAAAATGACCACACATAAGATTGTTGCTTGTAAAATTAAAAATTAAACCCTATTTTCAATATATCTTTAGGCAAATGGACACATATCGTGTAAGAAAAATTTTATACTCTCTTACGAGTAAATGTTTATTTTGATCAGAAACGTTGTATCCCTGTCATGGTACACAAAATGGTGTGAGCAGAATCACCAAATGTGCATTAAGAGATTTCTGTGAAATCGTTATAATTTTGTTTTGTATCAAAACATAACATCTAAGTCAACTAAGTTACTTTTGGCTAAGTTTAGTTAGTGAAGTTTGATAAGGTTAAATTATTTTTAATATGTAAGTGTTAGTTTTGAAGAACGCCATCTAAATTGGGTGCTATTATATACAAAAATGTTATTCGTTAAGAATACTTTGGACCTTAACTTTGGTTTGTTTATTTTTCATTTCAAATTTGTGACTTTATTTGTGAGTTATTTCGACATCTCTTATGTTGTTAAATTGTTATTTAGAATAAAACTACATAGATTTGTAAGTTAACTTATGATCTAAATCTATTTTCCAGTCACGTGTAAGTATTTTTATTTGAAGAAACACCAAAGATATTGTGTGATCTAGTCGTTTGTTTGGATTTATAAATTTAAGTTTGAAACATTCTGAATTTGCAGACAAATGTAAACTAATTTTGCCATCATTGTTCTTATAATATAAACAATTTTATTAATAAAAAATTCAATGAAATAAGTTACATTTTCGTTTTGTATGTGACATGCATAATGTTTTCTATTTCAAATACATGTTGTTATGTGTCATGTAATTATCTTAAATTGAAATTGAACGGAATTGTTGATATTTTGAGTTAATGTTATGATTATGGATGACGTACTTACACATTTTTAACTTATGTAAACTCAATTTCAAAGAAGGAAATAATAATTGTTTTGCGAAAGGCTAACTGCTGCCGACTCCAAAACATTTCTGCCCGGTTGTGATTCTAGTGTCATTGTTATAGTAGCAATGGTCCTACATCTACGTCTAAGTGCAATTTTTTAACATCTTTGTATACTTAATGTGTTTACTATTAAATACAATATTACTATGATATACTCGTACTTTTTTCTTTAAACATGTATATCCTCGTATTGTAATTAAAATTATTTGAATGAAACAACAGTTATGGCCGATATTATATTTCTTTGATCGTTGCGTAATTATGCTAATATTCATTTAACATTACATTGGCAAGTTAGCTTCTTATCTTTTAAATTATTGGCGTCCGAGATTATAATCTAAACATTCGTCGACGTATCACTTTATTTTGTGCGAAATAAATGAATACAATGTCTATGGTACAGCTATATTTGAGATCAACGCTAACGGTTTTCGGTGACCTATTCGATAAATAACAATTTCTTTCGCACTAACGATACCTTAACTCGCAGGATCTGATATGATGAGACATCTTAACTAAATCCATCGCACTTTGTACAACTTTATCTAATCCAGTAAATATATGGTGCATTCGAGTTTGACGGCGAGCAGTTCGTGAACAAGTGGTGCATCATCCGGCGGTGTCGGCGCAGGCGAGCTGGCGGCACTGCACGCCCAGCTCCGTGCACCTGCATTCCTGACATGAGGACGATAGCTCCGATATTATCCTCTCGACTCGATACATTTTGCCATAGATGTTGCAGCCAGCCAGTTTCAGGAACCCTGGGCCCAGGCCGCCGAGGTGATTCGATGTGGACGGTCGGACGTTCTCCTGCGTAACGGACGCGTACTCGACGTAATCGGTTTTTTTAGTAACTCCAACTGGTTTAGATGAGATGAAAGGTTTTTCAGTTGTGTACGATTTTGGCGGCGCGGGCTTTCTGTTAGGAATCGACCTGAATGGCTGAACAGCTGGACGAGGGGTCATCTTCTTAATGGTGGTAGATTCTCCCAGTATCAAGTGATCGATACGATTTATTGCACTTTGAGGTGGTTGATGTTTCACGGGGATGAACGGTGGTCGGTTTGTAACCGAAACGACCGGCGAGGAGGTTTTCATCGGTTGTTTCTTTGTGGTTGCCGCCTGAGTTGTTTTTGGTACGATATTTGGTATTTGTGTTACAGATACTGTCGATTGCTTTACGGGCGCTGATGTGGTGGTTGCGTAACTGTCGCTTAGCAACAGCTTTAGAACACTTCCCAATGAGAATCCCTCGTCATCGCTGTCGTCATCATATTCCTGTGAATTATCAATCTCCTTTTCCGAGTCTTCAGCGACTGTTGTCGCTTTGCTGCTTTGCTCATTCTTTTCTGTGGTAGTTTGTTCTAAATCGGTCTTGGTTACTTCTGCTTTCAACCACTCTTCGTTTATTGTTGAGGCAATTGTAACTACGCTTGACTTAGCAGTAGTCTGTGTAAACGCTTTGGATGTAGTATTGTCCACTATACTTGACTTCATAAATGCATCAGAATTATTTGCTGGTATTTCCTGAGATTTATTTTGTGTTACCGGTACACTTCGTGTCGATACATACTGTGGAGATGGTGTAGTTATGTTTTCTGAAAAAATAGATGGCGTTGAGATTTTGTAAAAGTAGATATCATAATAGAAAGTTAAATTTTGTACCTGAATTACACATGAGGTCACCACAACATTTGTCTCGTGAGGATGCGGTGGCGGGGCGCCGCCTGCAGCCGTGCGGGCTGGCGCACTGCCGCGCCGCGCACTGCAGCTCACCCCAGGCGCAAGTACACACGGAACACGCTATGCTGATCGCTTCTCCTTCGACCACTCTCTGACCGTCCTCTGACACACATTCTGAGGGAAGTAAATAATAAATAAATTTTTTGCAACTTTTCTTGAATTATTAGATCCATTAAGCTTCCATACAGTATGAGATAAAACAGCATTTAAAAAAAAAACGATTTACCTTTGGTAGTATCAAGTTGCATGGAAGTAGTTAGATGTGGCATAATGGAGCCGGGCGGGGTGCTAGTGTACAATGCGTAGAAGTCATCAATTATCGCCGGGTCTTTTGGGACAAATCCTCCTAAAACGTTTCATTACATTTTAATACTTAAATTGGAATTAAGATGCAGAATTGAATAGTTTTTTACAGCACCTTCAGTTTCCACTGGCGGTGAGAACAAATTGACGACCGGTGTTTCTAATTCAAACTTAGTATTGTGGCCTGGTAGTTTGGTCGTAGCTTTGTGCGCTTGTGGCAAGTCGTTGCCGAGGGCGCTGGTCACGCCGTAATCATGCACTGATGTTATTATGTCAACGTTACTTTGGTACTCATTCGTGAGGTCTACCTCATGTACAGACAGTGGATACTGCGCCGATTCTACCTTTTTCGATAAAAATATTGGGAACTGCGTTGGGTTATACAAGTCCTCCCGTCTGGTTGCGAAAGGAACGTCCTTCCCCTCACCGCTGGGGTAATACACGGGATATTTATCATGTCTGTCTACAATATGAAACGTGTGGCTCTTCTTCGACGACGTATCATCGTCCACGACGGCGTCCGCTGCAACGAAAGGAATGATCCTAAAAATAAAATTATATGAAAGTTAGGATATGCAGTTACACAAGAATTAAACAAAGTTGAAAACGTATAGTACTTCAAGTTTGGCAAAGACGGTGGCAACGTCGGCTTGTCGTAGTAATATTCATACTCGTCCTTGGTTTTCTTGGAATTATTATGAGAGACATTAGAGTCCCCGGCCGCCGCGTGCGTCGCTTTGGCGGAGGAGGGTGCCGGGCTGGTGACCGTGTTGTTGGTTCGCAATGAGCTAATCAGTGAACTGGTAACGTTTATGACGTAAGACTCATTTTCATCAAACTCCTCGTTGTAATTTCTATCAGTGATGATATCGTTCGGGTTGTAAGTGTGAGATTCAAAGCTCTGTGCTATGTTAGGTAAGCGCGCTTGGATATTTTCTACATCAGAATACTTCTCCACCTCGTTTGCTTTGGTCGAGTTTATTGTAAAAGTTGTTGATGACAATTCGGCAGTACAATTAATTGTTCCGTTGATAATGATTTTTACGGAGCTCTCGGGCTGCTCGGTGGTGTCGTCTTCGGATGTAGAGGCCTCCGCGGCCTGTAAAGTCGTTCTGTCTGTGCTAGCGATGGCGTTGACCGTCTTTTGTGCGGTTGTTATTGCTGTAGTGAGACCATCTGTCGCTTTACTCGTTGTTTGGGTCGAAAAATCACTTGTTTTTCTTTTAACTTTGGTCGTTGCAGTGGAATCGTTTTTATCACTCATCAAAGTAGCCGTAGCGTCCGTTACAGTAGTCAACATTGCGGACGTCGTATTATAGTGTGACATCGGAGGAGCGCTGCGGAATGATCGATCTTTATTTTGTAACGAATTTAATGTATTATCTAATATGGGTTGAGGGTGAAACTCCGGTAACCCTAAAACAACGTCAAAAAAAAAATAAGTATCTTAATAAACATGTAATAAAAATTATCTATTCGGTGATACGTGTAGCCACCGCATCTGAAAAAGAAGTTACCTTGTCGTTGTTGGAAGACACATTGGTACTGATGGGGGCAGCACTGGCCCGCCTCCAGCAGCGGCCGGCAGCCGAGCAGCGGCGGCGCGCAGGCCAGCGCCTGGCAGCGCACGGCGCCACGGAGGCAGAAGCACTGTGAGCAAGCCGCACCCTCGGGCGACGGCACGCGCTCGCCCTCCGGTACCCACTGCCCCTCCACTTCGCAATCTGAAATACACCGCAAAATAGTAATCAATTTCTATAATTATCATACAAGCGACCTAATAGTCGTGTGCAGCATTAGCGTACATCGAATATAAAACTGTGGCTTACCATGCAGGTGGCGTTCGTCAGGAGGTCTGGTCGTGGGATGGTCGCAGTAGTATCTCTGGGGGCAGCAGAAGCCGGGAGCGGGGCGCGCGCGGCAGCCGAGCGGCGGGCGCAAGCACTGAGGCCGCACGCAGCGCCGCTCGCCGCCGAGGCAGAAGCATTGCTCGCACGCCGTCGCCGAGCGCATCGCCGAGCCCGCCGCGTACGCCGTGCCCGCCTCCACACATACCGGGTGCTCTGCAACGATTACTATTCTCATCAACGGAAACCAATTTGCATTATTCTCAAAAAATTCAGTTGTTCCACTGATATCGATGTTAAGTATAAAGACAATTAAGAAGGTCGGAAGTAATTTTAAAGGCTTACCATGAGTGTGCGACTTGACAATTTCAGGATACACCTCCTCATACTTTGTGATGGTGTCAGGAACACTCTCCACTATATCCGTGAGATCTGCAACCACGTGTATGGCGTTCTGAGAGTAGTACATTATAAGAACTTGATTTTTATTAAAACTAAACCGAGGATCGAGAATGACAATTGGGTAGGATTGACTCGTGATAGACCTGAGCAGTGCAGATGCGGGCAACAGGTGTCAGAGCTGCGGTCTTGATGACAGGAGTCGGTGGGCACTGGAGGTGCGGCGCAGGGGCGGCGGCGGCAGGAGACGGCGCCGCGGCCGCACTGGCAGCGCAGGCAGGGGGCGCGCACCGGCACCAGCGCACCCTCCGCGTAGTGCCGCCCGTTGTAGTGGCACATCGCCGCTCTCACCACGTCTGTCGGATATTTCATAGTTTAACTATCACATAGCTTTAGAATTTTGTTGATATAAAGATTAAAATAGTTACCTCGGGTTGTATCCTGGTGTCCATACACCACATGTCTCGCTGCAGCGCCTCTGGCGGTTACTGTAACGATTACATTGTAAAAATATAACATTACAATTATTAATTAATAGATTTATGTTTATCCCACGACAACACTTCTCGCACCGCCTAATATGATTAACCAGTTGTGTAGAGTGCATGATTATTAATCAGCAACACGAACCTGATTAACGTTTATGTACTATAATTAGATCCTTTAAATTTATAACACAAACAGAATCAATAATCAAAATTAAATCAAATTGGCTGCAACTGGTTGTGGGGTACACCTGGCCAGGCGGTGTGGACAGCCCAACTCGGGCGCGCCAGAAGCAAAAAACTGCGAGGAGATGACGGCCGAGTTGCGGACACTCCGCGCCATTCCTGTCCCTCTCGTGGCGGGCCTGAGGGCCGGCGGCAGTGCGCGGGCCGAGGCGGGGGCGGGGTCACATTGCCAGACAGAAACAAATAAAAATTAATGGTTCAACATTGTGACCGCCTCGGGAACATTACTTTTCCATTTCTGCGAAATCGGTCAGCTCGGGGTCTGGGATAAAAATAAAAGCGAGTTCTACACGAATGCAGTTTTAGTTCGCCATGAAAGGATAATAATACTCTGTTTCGAAGACCTCCTTGTCGGGCAGCATAGCAATTAATCATAAAAACGTTCGCGTCTATGTTACCTTCAAACCAAGATTGCTAAACTTAAGTCCCTTCTGTTCGAGGCTCATAAGGAATTAAATGGTGCTTCGCAACATTCGTGTTTCATTAGCTACGAGCGAGATCGACAGGAAACTACGTCCTAGCGAAGAGGTCTCACCAAGTTTGTCGGATTTACGACATGAGCACTGAGGTTGTTGCCACAAATTCACATAATTAGGTTGATTTTGTGAATGTGTTCTGTAAAAACAGGAAATTATTAAAATCCGCAGATGTTTAATGCTCTATTAGCTCACCCAATTCAATTAGCAAAATGTTTTAGTACATTTTTATCTTATAAATTAGGTTTCATAACGTCTTATTTACAAGGGTACTACTAAACGTGAAAACACGACAAAATAGCGTTGTAAATTATAATGACAGGCACATTCAATCCAGTGTTTCCTAAATTAACTACCTATAAAACATATGAGTACAAAAGTTTAGCTACATCTTGCAACGTTGCTTATCCAGTATGTGGCCGATTCGCAAATGTTACTGTCACACTTAGCCGCAGTTGAAAAACAGCTCCCGTACTCATAGTTATGTTGTTTCTGACATGTGCCTACATAAAGGGACTCTCTTAATGACAAATTAATTGTGACTGCGGAAAACGACGCATATAAAATAATGCAGCTCTCTTTGATAAACATATTACATTATAATTAACTTTAACTTTGAATTAAAAACAATATACATTATGAAGGTCGGAAGTCATTACATATTGTGTTTGTAATTAAAGTTATATTTTTACATTAAATAATAGACATTGAAATGTTTTTGTTATATTTTTTTTTACTTAACATGCTTAATGTGTCATGTCATGTACATACGCGTATATGTATTTGTGCTTAAAAATTTTAAAGAATAACCTTTAGTACCTCAATGTATTATGGCTTAGATTGCTCCCAAAAAAAAACACACACAAACCTGCGCACGTTTCACTGCCTCATTGGTTATGGAGTACAATATTCGTGTTTCAAATCATGAGAAAATACTTAAAATCATTATTAAGCACTTAACCTTCCAAAACAAAAGCTTGCGTTTAAAGTTAAAAACACCAAAATGCCTACAGTAGTTACATTTGATCTGGTTTTTTTTCTGCCGTCGCTCGCAAATTGCGGCCTGATTATATTGTCTAATTGTTAAAACAATAGACCATTGGTGCCGCGCCGACCTCAATGCGTGTTACAGTTCCCGTCTACACGAAATTATTAGACGAATTTTCTAGACGCAATTTGAATGAATGTCGGAAATAACGGTATACTTAATAACAGTAGTTAATTAATCTAAAATCATCAAATCAAGGTTTCAGGATTAACATTGGATAGAATTGAAATATGTAAAGCGATTATAACAAATATGAACGAGTTCTCTATCTAAGGTTTTATAGAATGATTGTGGATACAGCTTATAGAAAAATAAGCTCTCTAGTTACCGAGGCTATATATTTTGTCTATCTTTACAAGGTAATGATGTAATTATAGGGTTTTTGTTACAGAAGAATATTCTCTTGTACAATATTTTATAAACATTACTTAATTTGTTAAAATATTTCTTGACCGATTGTTATTAACAACGGATGTTTAGTACTTGCTATATCAAAATATACCGCAACTTTCTTTTACATTTTACTCATGTTTTAATTAAGATCAGACTATTGCTTGTGAACTCTACACTAATACTCTATTGTACGAAGAAAGGTACAATTGCACTGATTCAGAGTGTACGGGGAACAATGAGGTTCCCACGGCTCAGCTCCCAGCCCGCGGGCGGCAGGCGGCGGCGGACTTCCGCTCAACCGGATGTCATCAAATATACGGGACTTGTGGTAAATACTAATATGAGTATTCTTGTTTAAAACAATATGCGCTCTCTCTTATAATGATTTAACCTCGGTCTTATTCTAATAATTTAATGAATCGTTATTTTGCATTTTTCTAATCTTTCCAAACGATACCCGCCATTGCTGCCGTTCGTGGAGTAAACCGGCCACACAGCAACGGCACATCTCGTCGCACGCCATTAAATATTCCAGTTTGTCGAACAAGCAAACACGTTACGTTTGTCTTCCAACTCATTCACTACTATCGACCATTCGTAACAGACCCCTGATACACACTTGCTGAGCTTAAAACGTATAACAATAAAGGCTGTTATTGTGAAATCATTAAATTATCAAAGGTCAAGATGTGGCAGTGCGGCTAGCGGGCTTGCGGCCGTCGCCTTTGCATATATTATCGTCGCTAGTATCATCGGATTGTACGTATACAATTTCTTTGCTTGTGACGCAATTTACATAACTATGAGCTGAATTTGTTGACTTTGTTTATTATTTTGCGGTGAACAATTTTTTAAATTGCGTCATGCTAGGTTAACACGAAATACCATTTTTTGCGTTTATCTAATCCATTGATAAATTAAAAACCATATATAAGTTAAATTGTCGTTATTGTAATTCAGCTAAATCATTAGTAATTGACACCGTGCAAGCTTTACTTGCAAATAAATAAGACGCGTTAGTGAAGTCAGTGAGATGCAAGGCAAAGCTCGCGCCAAAACAAAACAAACGTTTTCAACATGAAATGCAAACGCCATTTGTTATGATAACTAGATGCTCTATTGTTTTGTCCGCTCTACTGACACACATCTGCAGCTCGGTGTCGCGGCGTACACCCCGACTAAGCATCTATTTTAAACTTCGTGTAGGTTTACAATGTCTCACAGATTTCGATACTTTAAACTTCAAATAACTAAGTAACTCACGATCATTCGCGATTATATTACTTTAATAATTCCAGTAATTGATCAAGTAATCAGAAGGAAACAGAGGAAGCAATACAAAAGGATTCTTTCCAATCATAAATAAACTTTTGCAAATGACGTATAAATATTTTCTTCAAAGCGAGTTATAGAGTACATTTTTAACTGGTTAAAGAGAAGTTAACTACTCAAATTGTATGCGTTATTTACCAATACTACGTTTGCCAACAAATATCATTTATTTTACGCACGATATTATGCACTGTATGTTGTTGTATATTCGAGCAGTGTAATGTCGCGCCCGTTGAACTCTAATGTATCGCCGCGCCGCCGCGCGCCGCCGCTACGCCGACAATGCCACTCAGTCTCCACACTTACCTCGACACTCCGCAATTACCACGCATTAAGTTATTACACCCTCTACTTATACCTACCACACGCTTGATTAACTGCAAGTCTAATTGAGAATTTATAATAAAATGTTTTAGCACAAAAATTACATTATTTTTTACCAAAATAATCGATCGATAGTTAACAAAAAGCTATTAAACGTCAAGACATTACAATAACTTTAAATAATTAAACAATAATTAAACTTTAAACCTTATTTTGTTATTTGTATCAAGATATTATTACACATTTTATTTAACATAACAAAATAGTAAGCAACAATTCGCGGCCGACAATGTGAGTATCGTCTAATTCAACATGCGCTAAACAAAGTTGTAACAACAACGATTATTACATAAGTCAATAAAGTAAACAGTGAATAGGTTTTCAAATGGTTAAGTTTTTAAACAGTTTTTAAATATTTTGTGTTCTATGAGATACGGTGCTCACTACGACTACTACTACTACGTACAACTTATATGGTGGATTTATATTTTTTGCTGTTGAAATTGAACAAAATAAACATACGTGCCAAAGAAGGTATCGTCATAACCTAACCAGAAACAAAAAGTACTCACATTTGGCTTTAAACAGACAAATAACGGTAAAAATAACAAAAGATTTAAAAAACCGGGATGGAGCAAAACAATAATGGGAATGATATCAGATGGTCGAAAAAAGCAAAACGTATCAAAAAGTGGCGGTGCGAGTTGCGTTTGTCTTAACATATATCACTGGGGTCGTCGACCGCGTATTTGCATGGACAAAGGACCTGCGGGGGCGCACGCGAGCAGCGCGAGGACGCTCAGCGCCGGAGCCAGCATGATGCGTGTATCGCCGACCGCGCCGCGCGCTCTACTGCGGCCTGCTGCCAGCCGCTGTCCACTGGCCAGCCGCACCGGCCGCCGCCGCCGCCGCCGCCGCCTCAAGCCCATCCTTTTCATAATTATACCATCGCCTGTAATTACTGTAATTGCCATCTTCTTTTGTCACCTGAATAATAGTTATAAAGCTTTGCGAAAAGGGCTACCGTCGTTTTTATTGTACCTCAATAATCCAGTAAATTAGAATAGGTTTAAAAGCGTATGACAATTGTTGTCTTTCTTAAGTAAGAAATAAAACATTTAAAATATCGCTTTCGTAGATCATTCTTATGTCGGACGATGTTCTTATTGCTGAAGCTCTTACTGTCTTCCGCAACCATAAACCTGGCTGCCGTCCCATGTTAGAGCAGCAAATTACACCGGCCAGTGGCCAGCAACAGGCTCATGGCTAAGGTTCAGGTTCATGTCCTGACAAGAAATTCTGTAAGAATAAAATATAACTGAATCCGCTTACGCCAGGCCACTCCCTTATTGGTCATTATATGTTACATTTAAACAATAACTAAAAATGATTATGTTCGAAGGTATATTTTAACCACAAAAAAAACTCATACGATTATCTAGCTCTACTTCGATTGAAATCCGCGGCATTTGTTTTTTCCATAATTGTATCAACAAACTAACTGGATCTGTCCGCTGCTGGCAAAATTAACTTTTTTATAGTGATTCGATCATCTTAGGTTCCGAGAAGGAACGGTCGCGGCTCGGCCGGGATAAGGATCAAACTGATAGGCCGCGGTGCAGCGCGTGACCCGGGGTCGATGACCCGGCCGCTCCTCTCTCAGATAACACCAATCGATTACGGTTTAACTTAAAAAAAACTTAAGATTTCCTCTATTGTGTTAAGTTACAGCTTGACAGCTTTTGAAGGCTTGCGCGGCGGAGCGCCTTTTGTTCAGTGCTCACCTTGGACTTCTACTTGGGGATATCCCAATAAGAAATAAAAAAAATCAAATTAAATGTAGACAATTTCTTGTACGTTTGTTAGTAAGATCCCTCGAACGTTATCACTAATACTAAATGTGTAATTTTCTATCCACCTTTGTACCTTTAGAGATCACCGAGATCATGAAACGCACTGAGTCAACACTGCCGCTGTCGGTAAAGTAAAAAAAGTTGCAAAGATGCGGATGAAACCGCGCGCTGCGGTCTGTATCACCGCACCGGTGTCGTATTTCCATGATCATGTTAAAGATATAAATACATACAAACATAAAAATGTAACATTGTGTTAAAACAAAACGTATCAACGTTTGAACCTCGAAAGCAAAATTTTGTTAGTAAAAATCCAACAAGATCAATAAATTGAAAAAAGATATTAAGAATATGCACAAAAATCAATTGAGTTATTATTGAAGTGTTTAACAATGCTCTATACATAACGCTTGTGCAGGTAAACTCGTTCCCTGTATGCCGGCTGACGGGCACAGGCCCGGAGGCTGTGGTTTTTGTGGGCGTTACAGACAATCGCACACAGCATCGCTCCAACAATGTAGCTTAGGTCAGAGCGCAAGTCGTTGCTCGCTGGGCGCAGGGTGGCACAGGAAGTCGCATGCGGCTCCAGGATTATTAAATATGTGTTAGTAATTAGGCCGCTTGCAGGGAAGCGACGTGACTGCGGCCGTCGCTTCACTATTCTTTTCTGATTTATTTTTTAGATTTCATATAAAAGCCATATTTCCTTCTTTCCTGATTTAGTCATTGACGTCCTATGGGAAATGGTGTTGGTACTTATTTCTCCATACATATGTTTCAAGATTCACCGAAGAAGACAATCAGGCTCAGGTGTCTAAGTAAGTGTACATACATGCAAACTGACCAAAATTCATTTGGAAAGAAAAGGCCAAAACAAAATGTAACTACCGCATTTAATTGAATACCTATATTATCTGGCATTGCACAATAAAACTCTATTAATTATAGACCTTCGTCAATTTACTTGCATTTTTCAAGTAAATAACTAAAACAGTAAGGGAATTTGTCGAGAACGACTAGGTACTAACCGCTAACATATTGCATTTAATCATACATTGGTAGATAAAATATTAGAAACATTTGCAGTTGCAGGGCGAAAGTTGTCAATAAAAGTATTGTTATCAGTGCATGCGGGCTGCGCGGCGCTGCTGCCTGGAGAAGGTAAGTTGCGTTAGCGTGCCGCCAGGGGCGCTGCTTCATTGTATAGAACGTTAACTAACACACTCCTTTTTTCCCTTTTCTTCTACCACTGTCCTCCCTAACTTAAGCAACCATTTTGATTACCTAATGTACGATTAATGTTAAGATTGCTTCGTTGAAAATTTTGCAAATGACAAAAAATAAGACATGTTTCATTGCCGACGAAACATGTCAACAATGTCTTGCGCACAACTTACGTACCTACAAATAAATAACTTATGTACTTAATGTTTACTACATCAAATACTTGACTAACAGAACACGGAAAAAGTCATTCAATTAAACAATTTAACAAATAACATAGTCGCGTCTAGAACATTTAGCGACCACATTTCTTATAATTTTTAATTATACAAGCCGTGAGCGGTATCGCCGGAGATCACAACATTGTACCGTCGAGAGGACTGCGACAAATCTCGCTAATGACCGTTTACCTCCCCGGCATAGCCCTGCGCGTCCCCACGAGCCGCGCGGGCCTCAATTACAGGGAGGTTTTTGCGTTAATTAGCTGGCGTGAGATGCAGCGCCGCACCCCCGCGCGCTCCCCCCCGACCGCGAGCCCTCCGCTAACATCCGCCCGCCACATTCATTATAAAATTAAACCGCAAAAAGCAATCTGTTAACATTTTATAGCGTAGTCAACAAGCAATTCAAAGAGGCACGAATGCGGCTCATCTCCCGCGGGATACCTCCCCGCGCTCTCGCAAACATGGATCTTGCCGTGCCCTGTATGCCATGACGCATATCTGTATACAGGAACTGGAAATAATTATGTGTTTGAAGATGTCATATGAAATGGTCCTTATACAAATAATTATGTACTGTAAATTCACATAATATCATTATTATTAGTAAGCATTATGATGTTGTTAAAACGCAGGCGCTTGCAGCAAATGCGCCTTTCAAATAAAAATAGCAATATGCAAAAATACAATTTTAGCAGCCGACAAAACAGCTGCACGGGTCGTACATTCACAGCACTTATTTTGTTAAAAAAACTATTAAGTGTACACCCGGGGTAATGTTCAAGCAAAAGAAATATCCAAGTGTAAATAGCAATTTGCATTCAAGAGCTTTTAACTTGCCTATCAAAAACCTAAACTGGGGGCGGCTGACAGCACCTTTCCTATTACAAAACTAGGTATAAGCTCTTAATTAAAATGTGTGTTATTTGAAAACAGGAGATGTGTCAAAAACAATCAATCGTAAAACATTCCTATAAAGTTATGTGATACTTTTTTAATATGATTTAGTAACCGATCAAGCTCTTTTTAACCGACTTCATACTTCAAATGTAACATAGTGATTCCGCGCACAGCTCGCGTACTGCCGCGACTGTCCTCCTGTCTGTGTGCTCGTGTGCGGCGTACTAATGTTAATTTTATGTTAACGTTACATGAGAAGAAAGTTTTGAATGGAAAGAATCACTACATAGGAGGAAAATAACCACTGCGAGCATTTAGCGTCACAATATCATAGTTAACAACTTCATTTCACTAAATAATTATTGTTTGTATACAGTTTAGTTTAAATAGTGTTTCGCTTGATTATCTTTAGTTCATAGACGACCAATATTCTCTGAGGATAATGTTCCATTGATGACGACTTTTAAAAGGTCTTGTAGAAGATCTATTCTTCTTCCGTTACTTCTCGACAATTCTCAACCCTTACGCTGCTAACAGTGTCAGCTTTTGTGTCAAGCAATATAGTAATCAGTGACCCGATATTTAAAACAGTAAATTTGCCTGTCAAGTGATTTTTGTCTCAGTCTTATAAACACTTTCCCCTCGTCCCGGCAGCAACTCTAAAGCCACCATTGTCGATTCCAGTGGCGAGACTCGAGACGCTACGTGTTGCAATCGCAACTCACGACCCGCGCGCGCGTTGCTCCTCATGAGGGTACAGATGTTATATTGTGACACATATTTACAGTTCTGATATTATGATAATAGTTTTAATGATATAGTAAATAGTTTGGCAACTGTGTGTGTGTGTGTGGGACCTGCCGACCCATTTGTCAACTTGTCATTTCAGTCAGCCTGATAATTAAGTGGTCTTAAGGAGTTGGTAAGCAGTGCATCATGATACAGCATTTATGTGCAGTCGCACACAGACCACTGCAGCGCGGATGCAAGAGCGCGCCGCCAATGGAGGTGCCGGACTTTTCTGAGTAAGTACTAAGTTTTAACCCTGATAAAATATCGTCGATTCAATTGTGAAACCGAGTTCCCTTTATGGAGGCACTTTAAAGAAGGATCTTCTACAAAAACAGAGGTGAAGGTCGACAATAAAATAATGTTTATGCCGTCCGCCTTCGCAACGACTCGTGTCCATCTGTCTGTGGATGTGTGTCACGAATTGGCATCATTGGTTATGTCATAATTTGAATATTGTAATGCGTTTCTACATAGTTGTTGAGTACCAATTAAGTTAACCGCAGCAGTGTAGCAACGTTCGCGACCTGAGTTACCCTCTTCCTACATATCGGATGGCAGTCGAAAGAAGTTTTACAACCACTGTACTAAACAGTGTAATCCACAAAGGCAAAGATTTAGCAGATGAGATGAGTATAACGACGTCTATTAAAATGTGAGCAACAATAACTTAGCATTACATAAGATGCATAAAGCGCAGCTTCAGTCGCCGAGGTGCAGACGCTCTCCGCGGCCGCATTGCGATGAGTACTTAGTTTTGTAAAGACAAGTTGTGCAACGAAAGAGACTGTTTCCTCTAATTACATCCCTTTTCTAAGTCTGACTGTTGAAAATATAACTGTTTGTTTTCTTATTAAATATGCACTTTTTCGTAATCAGAAGTAATTATAAGCAGAGTAGAAAATTTTCTTGTTATTGAGGTATATCAAAGTTTAAGGGATGCTTCCCAACAACAAAACAGTAAACTTAATAAATTGCAGACACTTCTTTAAACATCAACAAAGCAGAAACGAAAAAAGGTATAGAGCCTCCTGGAAGAAAAAATATAAAAATATCTCCAGTAAGCATGAAATGTTAATAAAACTTCAATTTGCAATAATATTCATAGTTAAGAAAGCAACCGTACAAAGGTAGAACCGTTTTTAAAAATGTTTCTGAGGTCATTAAATAGTCATCGTCTTACCAGCGTGTGTTGACCCCCGAGACCGCGGGGCGTGGAGCCGCGAGGCCGCGGGGTGCGGGGTCCTGCAGCAATCAGCATCGCAACACACACACGATCAAACTTGTTTTTTTTTCATATCTATTAATTAACATACGTTTGTGACTTGTGTGTTTGGTCAGATTTTTGTGCCAACTTTGGTAAGTTTCAAGGCGATATCGTCCATCAATATTCATCGAGCCTACATCAAGAGATTCGAGTCAGTGACCGCATTTCTAGTAGTTAAAAACATTTTGTCTGCATTTTTTCAATTAATTCGAATGTCTAACCAGTCTATCCAGATATTTTTTATTTGGTGTCGTAAAGTGTTTTGTGTTCGAATATTTTTATATCTAAATAGTAAATCCAAAATACATTCAGAGAAAAGGAAACGACATGTTTTGGACAAAGCTCGTCACTTTATTACTAACAATGTTTTTTTTTTATTTACAAACATACAAAAGAGATGGTATTTTATCACAATCACTGTCTTGTACTTGCGTCACCAATAAATTAAATATTAGTCAACATCTGCGGACACCGCCCCGCCCCGCCCCACCCCGCACCGCACCGCACCGCACCGCCTCCTCTGGACACTGGCACCTTCTAAACCATTCTAGAATATCGTTGAGATTGTAATAAACTTCTTGATAGACCTATGCTCTGCTTTTGTATTTTAGCTGGTTGGACGGACATTTGACAAACTTGTATTGTCTTGTAGCGGTTTCATTGTCATTTGATACCAGCGGCACAGGTTTCCTAGTTCATTTGCGAACATTGTTGTATTCATATTCAAAGGGTACCGGTGTCCAGTTCATATTAAAGTTGCTATAGCGGTCTAGTGGCGGCCGACCTGGTCCACCTGGCTCTGCAGGTTGTTGATGACCTCCTCTGGCACCTGGTCGCCCAGGATCAGCCGCAGGTCGATCTTCTGGTTGCCGGGAATCGACTCGTACGCAGCCAACTCGATACCTTCCTGCACCTGTTGGTCATTTTACAGTTATAAGAGAACTTTTACAAAATAATTTCTTGTCTGTCTGTCACATGTTTCAAATTGTGCGTCTTTGATTAAAATTAAAGAAATCTGACACAAAGTAATGTATTGTAGGATCTAATTACTTTATGAACACACCTAACTAGTATGTATTTGAACTTATAAAGTAGTTGAGTTACGTTACCTTCTGGATTTCAGCGTCTTTGGGTATAAGGAAGGTGTTCTGCGCCTGCTTGATAGCCTCCTTGGTGAAGGCGGCGCCCTCCCGCTGCGGCGCGCCCCGCGCCATCGACACCAGCGCCACCAACACAACCAGCGACAACACGGCGAACCTCATCTTCACTTTGTTACAAATACACGCAACTGAAATATCAATTTATTACATTTACTTATACCTGAAAACACAATACAATTGCGAACGCTACGCAGTCGGCTACGCCAATACGTCCAATTCTTACGGGAATCGATTAATGGAATAAAGGTTAATTCACATAATCGTATTAGTTCTAGAAAGAAGCTCGACTTCACTAATTCAATAAACAAGTTACATAAACCCGGCGCCGGCGGCGGGCAGCTCACGGACGCGCGCGAAAGTCGACCCTCGGCCCCTGAGGTCCGTTACCACTTTTACTATTGACACAGAATTTTTCACTTTGAACGACTAAATTAGAGCCTTCCTAACGTGAGCACGAATTGACACTTTCTTATTGAATATTGATGGTACAACAACAAGGCTGGTGTGGAGTGTAGCGTAGGCTGTGTAGGAGCTCACCTGCAGGCTGCGGAGTGCGGCGCGCGCGGCGCCCGCCCGCTCATATAGCCGCCCCACGCCGCCCCGCGCCCCGCACCCCGCGCCACTTTCACCGCGCCTGCGCATACGTCTGCGCAACCGTCCTCACCATCGGCCGGGGCTACGAAAGCTGCTCATCTTATCGGCGAATGCGATAAATGAAATCTATTGACCTTCGCAATTAGTTTATTGGTACGCTTCACTTGCTACTCTGTGCTGTGCTGTGCCAAAAGCTTAACTCATAACTAATAAATTTTAATTGCTATCAAGAATCCCAAAATGAGGCTCATACAATGCAACACAGAATGATGCAGACACATTATGTACTAAAATTTGCAATTCAAAATTTCAATTAGGGTAAGTCGACCAGCGCGTTTAGTGGCCCAACATTGAAAAGGACTAAACGAATGCAGTACACAAAGGTAAGTCGTGCCAAAATCACATTGCATTTCTACATCTGTGCACGCTGTGACCAAACTGCATCCTACATTTACCAGCTTTCCATGATTTACAAGTAAATGTGACGAAATTTATTGTTGCTCCAACATTGAGTATATGAATACTATTCGATACTGAGTAAAATAAATATACGAATTGTCATCATGACCTTGCGGATACGCAATGCGAGGAGAGGCGCTAAGTGGCCAAGTGACAGGTTGGATATCTGAAAGCAATCTGCGTCGTTGTGAATAGGGAACAGTGGTCACATCTATGTGTGGTGGAGTGTGACAGGTTGTTGGGTTAGCAGTACTGACGTGGGGCAGGATGAGCCCCACCAGCTTTCTTCAGTGGCACCCGAGCTTGAGCCGATAGATATCTTTGAGCTTGAACAAATTCGTTTACAATTGAACAATAACTCACATTCTTTAAGTATAATTTTATTAAAAAACAAATTTGCTTACTTGTTAATGTAAAATGATGAGATATCTATATGTTAATATGACCGGTCTCTGTTTGTGAATTTGTACGTCTGAGCCAGTGCAAATGTTTGTTCTGGGACCAATTTTTGCCAGCTTATACAAATTTAAATAAATAATGATAGACAATGTGAAAAAAAACTATACTAGAATTTGCAAAACTAACAGACATTTTAAAAACAAATTAGCGTATTTAATGTACGATGCGAGTCCTAAAAAAGTTACGTGATTACACATTATATTAAATATTGTGGAAATTTTTGGTAAAAAGCGCCAAAATTCTCCAAGTGTAGACCCAATTATAACGTCTATGAATGTACTATACGTGATGATATTTGCTGCCGCTTCTGGTCATCTGCCGTGACATGTGACGCAACTTGTCCAGAAATATAACTGTAGCAATGAAAGTAATGCGAGTCCACCTGAGCGCGCGTCGCGCTGCCTCATTCACATTAATATGTATAGACACTGCGATGCAGCGCGGCGCGCCCGCTGGCGGGCCGTAATGTAGAAACGAAAGTGAATTTTGAGCATCGTTGTATAGACGTTAGGGCTGTTACACAAAACTCGGTAGTATCGCCATTACCTTACATCATCGCCGCATTACGAAATTGCTACGAGGTTCAAAGTTGCCATACAATAAACGACAGGGAAACAGTAAATAGTAAAAAGTAAATAAACAATTACTCATCAAAATGCATACTTCTTTCCAGACCAATCCTGCAATGACACGTCTAAAAACATGCCATTTATTGATAATTAACATAGTAAATTAAAAGAACTTAATAGTCTTAATCGTTTTGCGAAACTGATATTAAGTAATATCGATGTCCAGCCAGATCATATAGTGTTTGGTACATCACTACATGTCTTATACAAGTCAAATTCTGTGCAGGTAGTAAGTAAGTAGCAAGTGGGCTCCGCTCCGCTATACACGCGGTAGAAAGGCGCCTGAACTTTGCCTAAATGACGACATCTTAATTAGAAAGGCGCACTTCGTCTATAAGATATATTTATCAAAGATATGAAATGTACATCTCTAGACAGTAACGTGTCTCGTTAACCGCAAACTATCTACGACAGTCGAACAAAGCCGAGTTCATAAACGAAAATATATTTTCACATACTTAAATATAAATTTAAGATGAAACTGCTGGCATCATTAAAGACGCAATACTGACTTGCGTTCGAAATCTGTAATTATTTTTACACCTTCTTCATTTGCATTTGAATGATGCTTGCAAGATGTTTTGTGTTTAAGATTTTCAATAAAAACCATAATGGATAACAATTGTTGTACAAACTAGACGAATCAGAAGCAAAAAGATGCATGAAGCTCCCAATGTGGTGTCTGCACATCGTGCGGTCACAGGAATGTGAAAATGCGGTCAGCATTAGACCAATGCACCGATTAAATTAGAAGGGTGCACGCGGATTCCTCTCAGACCTATACATATGGACATAGAACTAACTCACTAGTTATATCTTATTAAGACTTTGAACTGCATCCAGTTTGTTGATTTTGACATTATTTATTTAATAATAATATAATATGAGAATTGTATAATATGAAATAATCGCTCGAATTCAAGTTTATTTAAAGCGTTCAGAAGTAGTTCAAAAAGCATATCATAATATCGTTACGTAAAGTAACGCGCAGTCGCAGCGCAGGCAAAAGTCAAGTTTCGATGTCGATGCGCGGATTTGAACCAGTTTCCTTATAAGATAAGCAAACGGCGACTGCGTGCCTATAGCGTCCACGGCTGTGTAGTTACATATTGTATAAGATTTGTGTAGCTTCCATCGGGCGGAAAGTATCACGATATAGCATTTGATTATGTGCCATACATATTTATAGAAATAGAAAAACAAGATCATCCCAATGTCCATTTTCCAGAGAGTTAAATTGTTAGAAAAACCTAAAAGAAGTCCAAAGGTGCCTTGCTGCCCCTAGTCTTAAAACTTCTAAGGACGGTAAGGATCTAAAACCGATGTAGAGGTGTAGCAAAATATCAATAGTTTAATATTTTTTTTGCTTTAATAATTGAATGTACGCACGAGGTTGTGGCAGTTACGACACATGTCACTGGGACTGAACTGCGATGTTGATGTTCTCGCGGAGCGCCGGCTGCCGACCACTAAGGTCACACGATTACATGTCTCAATCATCATATCCTCCGCCTTTGTGTACCTCTGCTTGTTACCTATTTAAATATAGTGAAGTCTATTGGTCTTTGCTGTGAAGTCATGACTTTTAAAATATGTGATTCAAACTGCACTCTGTCGCCCAATCAGTAAGTACCACATCCTTTGTATGCGGCCTCCATATGCGATGTAATTTATTAGGTAAGTAGCTGTTGTCCGTGACTTCGTCCACGCAGTATTAAGATGAAAAAAAGTAGCCTATAATATGCCCGTCTATGTCAGCTTCTCCCTCAGTGAAACAACGGTCGAAATCGACCCAGCCGTTTCGGAGATTAGATTGTTAATGAATGATGTGTAGTTCTTTTTCAATAATGTGGAAAATTATATATACATTTACCAAATCCAACTTGAAGACTTTCATTTTTGTTATAATTAACGGCAGCTAAACGAGTCACTGAGACGCGACATGACTACTGTTAATGTCCAGTATGAGTAAATGAGGCGTCGTATCACTTATAACGAGAGGGTTGACTAAGACAGATTACTGACGGAAACATTACAGCCGTAGGTACTGCATCAAATTTGTACTGTTGTTAAAAAAAATAAAACCACTAATTCAGTCTAATGTCTTTTATTTGTAAAAAAACAATAAGTATTAAATAATACAATGAGCAGATGCGCTTATTGCCCGGGAAAAGAATCAAACGGTCTTCCGGAGCAAGAAGGAGCACTTTGAGGAATCTCACTTGGAGCGTAACGCGATACAGTCACCGCAGCGCAGGCTGCTGCTGCTACTGCTGCTGCTGCTGCTGCTGGCCGACATCAATACAAACTAATAAAATGGTCGAAACCGCATCGGTCTCTAGACGAGGACACGTACAAACGAATGATCTAAAACGATGTGCGCCCGAGCCACGCACCCACCTACCGCTACAAGTAGCCACTTTGTGCAATAACGTAGACTATGTGCGATAACATTCATATAATTCTAAACCATCTACATCTATATTCATAAGGTTCATAATTGATTATATCAAATTCGTTTTGTACCAAATTTTGTTGCATTTGTGAAAGAATGAGCACGAGTTATAATTTTGCGGAATGCTACAGGAGCTGCGACTGCGCGGTGCGACGGCGCGGCAAGTGGCGGCGCGCGCCGGCTCCCTGTGACTAGCTTGCTTGCTTACTAATCGTTTTACTCACATTTCTCACTAAAATAAATAACTTATCTAACGATAAAACTTCCGCCCGGTGTCACACGACACACACGACGCCAAGGGATCGCGTCTCTCGTATGATTACATCTAAACTATAAATAATTTGTCCAGCTAGTATATCGGACCGGTACAACCTGGCCTCTGAAATCAAAAATATACATCCAGCCAAGAGATCTTTCAGAGCTAGAAGTCGAATTGAGTCGACGTTTAAATACGACAAGGTAATTTAAACTCTTTAAATCTAATAGTCTCTACATTAACTTAGTTTCATGAACGAAACTTATTCACTATGAAATGCTAATTTTCTGAGCTGAGGTTCCATCGACAGTCCCGCGGCGTCCTCACTGCGCGGGGCCGAACGCGTCCGTCGTCTGCACCGGCCCGTCCGCGCCAGACGCGCTGTCGGCAGCGCTCGGCGTGCTCTCGGCAACGCTCGGCGTGCTGTCGGCAGCGCTCGGCGGGTTGTCGGCAGCGCTCGGCGGACTGTCGGTAGCGCTCGGCGTGCTGTCGGCGGCGCTCGGCGTAGTGGCCTCCGTCGCAGCAGCCTCCGACATTGGTGCAACTGTTGTGTCAGAGTTGACACTTGCATCGCTAGCGGCATCTGATGAGTCGCCTCCGCCGTCAGTGGTCACCTCGCCAGCTCCGGGCCGCTCTCCTACTGATCGCTCGTTGCTCTTCTTCATGATCACCTTCGTAGGTCGCCTATTTAACGTCGGCACGTAGGACTGCGTTATGATCTCTATATCTTTCTTCTCCGTTTTGTTTTCAGCTTTTTCATCCGATACGTTGTCTATGATGGGCCGTCGCGTGGTGGGCTCCACTTTATCGTTGGGCACCGGAGAGTCTGTTATCGTATCGGTGTCGTCCTCATCTTCAATCTCGACGACCTTAGGCTTGCTACTTCCTTTAGATTTGAACGGCACCTCGGTTATGGAATTGAGATTCCAATTTTTATTCTTACTTTTGTAACCGGCATTGACTGGTATCAATTCTTCGGAGTCGGAAATGGTCGTCGGACTCGCAGTTTGATGTTCGAGTTCGGGCGAGTCGGTGTGGTCTCCGATGGCGGCCACGTCGCCGACTATCTTGATCAGATCGGTCAATACATTGCTATTCCTGCCAGTCGGTTGCTCGATAAGAGCGGAGCTTTTTCCGGAGTCGGAGAATAATTGAATCGATTCCACGCCCGCGGTTGCAGTTTCTTGCGAACCTAAAGCTAAGGAACCGATCTCCGTCGTTTCAAAGCTTTCAAAAGATTGATTTTCCACGAATGACGGTCCTGTTTTAGGTTTGGCAGAGCTATCGTCCAACATCAAGGGATCAACCGTAGACATCGATGATCTATCTTTAGTTATGTTTTCAGACGAGTCGTGGGGATTTTGGTCGCTAGTTTCGATTGGCAAGGAGCTCAATTCCGTCTGCGACGTAACCTCCGTGCCTATGTTTGACTTTGAGATGGAACTAGTGGTTTGTTCTTGCGGAACATTACCTCCACTCGCCCGCGCCGATGTTTCCGTGGTGTTGCCGCCCGCTTCGAGCTCTAGGGAATCGGGATCGTCTGTGCTCATAGGGATGCCATCGACGGGATTTAAGTTAATTGCTTCACTGACCTCCTCCGCGCCTTGACTGGTCACTGGCGACTCTGTACTCGGGGCCGCGGTGCCGTCGCTCATCTCTACTGACAGCCCCGTATGAGAGGGAACATTTAATATCTCCGTGGGTAAAACGGACCGCAAATTGAGCATAGAACTCTCCCTAGATTTTGATGTAACTATAGTGACGCTTTCATCCGATTCGGTGATGCTCCCGTCCGAAGAAATTTCCCGAGGGTTAGGCCACGCGGCCGAGGTCGCTTCGGAAGTAAAGCTCGATGTAGCAGCGGTGGCGGCTTCCTTCGCGGCAACTGTTTCCGCAGCGGCCGCTGTGCTCGCGGCATTCATCACTTCATGAGCCACGGACACGTGTTCAGTATCCATATTTTGTTCCGTGAATACTTCTTCCTCGTGATTTCCTGCCACTGACAAGTCGTCAGGTATCGGGGGGAAAGCAGGGTTGTGATCGAATAAGGAAGTATCTTCTTCCTCTATCACAGAAGATTTGCTGGGAGGCACCGAAGCTACATTAGTTGACATCGACGGCGAGCCCGCAGTGGCGACGGCTATGGGCAAGCTGGCGGTGTAGATGTTGTTATTTATCGAATCCTGTGTCGAGAGACTGATCTTAGAGGGAGCGGTGTCGTTGGTGCCTTGCGCGGCGGTATCCCTTTCATCACCTGATTTGGACGCTTCCGTGGGCGCGGAAGTATTGAAAGATGCAGATGTTTCATCATTACTCATTTCCTGTGTTTCAATGTTATCAATTTCAGATTTCTCGGAGGTGGCCTCGCGCGGTATGAGCGGAGACTTGGACGAGACATATTCATCGACACCGAGCGAGGGCGGAATCTCCTTTATTTTCACTTCAGTAATAACTGGTATCTCAGAGACGGGAGTGATTTCTTTGATTGTTATTTCATTTTTGGGCGGGTTTAGGGGTTCCTTAATAGGCGTTGGCTCGACGCTGGCTGCCGGGTCTCCCAGCGCGGACACACTGGGCGCCGCCGGTGTAATCCCAGAAATCGTTGTAACACCTGAAATGCCAAAATATACATTCAATCATTATTATTAAGAAACCTATACTTCATAGTTAATTTTGATATAACTACTTTTGAGCCGAAGCAGGACAATCAGTGGCATAACAATTCACGATTGACTTTTTTAATTTGATAATAACATTATCGTACTTCAGAAATTTTCGTTTTTTAGCTAGTAGATAGAGATAGAGATAGAGACTACATTTCTATGGTAGTATAAAAAACAATTCTAAACAATGTAATGTTATTTTGTCGGGCGCGAACATCAAATAGTCTTTGACGTGAATGGGTGCGATATTTATGAATATTAAAGAAAGCGCATGTCTTCAGGAAGACGTATCTTAACGAGTAATCAAAATATTCAATAAAGAAACAGTAGTTGTAGTGTTTGGTGCGAGCTGACCTCTGAGCGGGCAGTTATCGTACTCGGGGCAGCAGCGGCCGGGCACGCGGCGCGGCGAGCAGTCGTCACGCACGAAGCACGCGATGCGCCGGCAGACCACCTCGCCACCCTGGCAGTAGCACACGCGGCACGGGTCTTGCGGGTCCACCAGCTTCTCGCCGTTGCCGTACACCCGCCCCTCCTGCTCGCACTCTGAAACACAAACAACGAGTTAAGTTGTTGGAGAATGATCACCTTACTGGTGATATACAAATTGTGTCGTTATTGTCCGTTCTGTAAATTTGTATTGTTCTTGTACTTATTCCTAAAGGTAAGAGAATTGAAGGTGTTGGGTAAAAGGAGCTCACCACACTGGTATGTGGGGCAGCAGTGGTCGGGGCGGTGCAGCGCCTTGCAGCCGGGCCGCGGCTGGCACTGCTCACGCTCGCACAGCACACCGCCGTGTGCGCACCGGCACCGCTCGCACGCGGTCGCCCCGCCGAACTCGTCGCCAGGCATATACACCACGTCGCCAACCGCGCACCCCCCTGCAACACACGTACCTGCCCTTCAGGAATTGACTTTCTACGTAATTTAACTTGAAGTCATTAGGAATTAATTTAGACTTGTACTGATGTGCACTATTACATCGTAACTTCCTTACCTTCCTTGAGGCCGAGATCTAGGCTGGTCACATTCGGAAGAGGGCCCACAGGTCCTGAAATGAAATTAAATTAATTAACTACGACACATTTAAATAAATATATACACAAGGTCTTGTGAACTGTATGTCTAAAAAAATTTAAGTGATTATAACTTTTGTGATATAGAGCTTGAGATGGTCACGGACAAAAATACATAATGATACCTTTATAAATAATTCCTTTCAAGTAAAATGAAGCCATTACTTTTTCTATCACTCAAAAAAGTCAGTCTTTAGTACTGGAGTGGGCTGAAAGAAAACCCTATCCGCCGGCTAATTTGACGAGTCTTTGAGCGGCCGAAAGCTTCGGCGAACAAAGAAACCTCTTTGTACAATCCGGCGGCTAATTGCCCTCCCCCCCTTTGCCCTCCTCCCGTGCCCTCCGAGCTCTCGTCAGAAAAAGCGATCTGCGAAGAAAACGCGACCCTCTCAACTCCCGCTAACTTATTCTCGCTCGTTGGAGAGTGGCGCAGTATTCCGCAATAATGTATTGTTGAGTTGAATATATTCCTCGTGTTTTTATCGCCTAAGTATAAAAGCTTTTACTCTATTGTTGCATGTTTTTAGCCGATCTTTGGGACATATTATAGTCACATTCCTAATTGGTTTTAATGTTTTTAATTTCATAAATGTTATTGTTACGAAAAAGTAAAAATCACTACAGTATTGAAGATCCTGTTATTTGTTCAGAAGACTTATAAATTAAAAAAATACATTTACTACAGATAAATTGAAAATCATGAACAACGACGCTACAAGCGTTTTCGTTTTCACCGAAATAATTTGAATGATGATCCTCAGCGTCAGCCCTCTTACGGGATGACACGCGAATAAATAACGAGGGCTGTGGAGGTCGCCCCTCTCCCTCACCGCACTCATATTGCTTTGATTTATGTACTTTGTGTCCCGTAGAGTTTAGACATCGCTATACATTTATTATCGGTAATATAAATCAAATATAAAACCATATATGTTTCTATTCTTGTGCCAAAGAAGTAGACAATCAATTATTATTTTATGTTGCCATTGAGTTTCTAAATTTGTATGTTTTGTAATTAGTTTCATATTCAGTTCAAGAGAAATTTATACCATAAATCACAGTTTTTGCAGTATGTTTATTGTTTAATTTGGGAATTAATTGGTTTAAACCGGTTTTACCGCTACATTTATGCGACGCGTGGTTTGTTAATCTGTGGGCGGTATCCCGTAGCGCTCATGAAAAGTGTTTATTGCCCATAAAGCCTTCCGGACATTTTCCTAATGGAAAAATAACAAGGACACAGCACCCGGGGGTCGTTATATCACGTTTTTTACAAACGACACGTTAACTGATTTATTTATCATATTGGTGCGTCGTAGAAATGTACATGTCCGCGCTTCTCATGGTCACATCGGGAGGAACGCGGATATTATTCAAGAATTTATGTAAAAACTGCATTATGTTCATGCCGAGTCTTTGTTGAGGAGTTTTAATTAATAAATTAACATCAAAAAACTGTTCAAAATTAGCATTCTTACAACGATTTTCGATAAAAACAAATAACTTTAGCTATAAACATGGGCGTTTAAGGAGCAGAATACATGACCCGTAAGCCTATGTAGTTAATACGAAGACAAGTTAGTTATTACATTTCTTTTGGGTGAATAATAGGTCATAACGCTAACATAACTAATTGAGTTTGTAACAACATTACCTGCAACCGTGAAATTGGGCATTGCGAGCTGTGAGCACCGAGTGGTGTGATAACGCAGTGGCGTGCGGAAACGCGCGTGCGGCGGCGACCGGGAGTCGAGTGCGTGCCGTGACGCAAGTAGCTGTCATCGTTATAGAATCATCAATCATTTGTAACAGGTTACGATGCACCGCAAATCCGCATAATATATTATATACCGAGTGTCTGTATGTTCGTTTGAAAATTAAAACGGATAGATCGTCATCTCTGAACTTTAATAAGCGCCGCATCCCCAAAAAAAGTACGACAAAGGCGGAAGGATTTTCGCTGATCGGTATATCCGCTGTATTGGGACGTTTTGAAGCCTAAAACGACTGGACTAGATTTACAGAAGTACAATAAGTTAGTATTTTAATGACCATTCTTGTTATTTTAGTGAGCACGTGTTCTTAATGCGACGTGTGACGTGTGTTGCTCGTGTCCTGTCGCGGTTGAGTCATCGATTGTTGAAGGCAGTACACACACGAGGCGAGGCGAGGCGATGCGAGGCGACTGCTTTAGTAACGCCGCTTTGTTTGGACATTTCGTATGCTATTGTATTCCAAATAATTGCTTGCGTGTTTAAACGCACATTTCATTTGTTACACGAGCTTCGTTTCAAGTGTTTATTGTATTACAATTATTTAGTTTCAAGCCTGTTATGACGAGAAAAGATTTTCTAGGGTGCTTTTTCTATATTCGTTTTTACTCTCGCTTAATCGAAGGACTTATGTGGATTAATCGTTAAGAAACAATAAATCCGACTAATGCTGTAAATGTTTGCTGTGTCTTCAGTATCACGATAATTATTATGTGATGACTTAATTATCGCCAGGGGTAGTCAAGCGCAGCGGAGCTAAACGTCGTATCGCCGCGAACTCGAGCCCTGCGACCCTGCGATTCCGGCCCCGCAACACCCCTGGCAGAGTACTAGAGGCCGTAGACCTTCTGATAACGGTCACCTTACATCACACCGGTATTGAGACAGGAATGTGGATCACTGTCATTGTCGTCGTATCAGTTACACTTTACTTACAGGTTTTGTTGTAAAAGATTTGATTATAGAAAATTTAGCAGTTACAGCAAAGGTAAACAACTTTATTCTATAGTACACTGTATACAAACACGGTATTACTCGACATCACGCAGCGTGACACGGCAGCACGTGGCCGCGGCCAGCGCACACGCGCCAGCACGCTCGCCTAGCGGACCTATTGTTCCTGCATTAATGGTGAATGACTGAATGGTAACAGTTTACATCATTACGTAACTAACATACAACTTTATGCGCGGTTCACACTTGGCCAGTACACTTGGATAGTTGCGACTGCCAGTCATAGATTGCATTGATTTACTGGCGTCAATTAGTGTTCCAGGTTTTGCGTGTCAGTTTTTGAGCGTCAACTGTACTGGCCAAGTGTGAACCGGACGTAAGCCTTGAAATTTGAATCTATTTTGCGACAAAACACGATTTTAGCCGTGTCATGAGAAGGAAAATCAAAGCTGATGTCACACAAAGGGCATATGTCCACTTATTACGGTAAAGGTCACATCACTCATCTCGTTTGTATTGCCAAGCCTCTCTTTTCAACTTAAGTCAAATATTTTGTTTGGAATGAGTCAAACAAGTGATTATCATATTTTCCTGTTACTCTTCACAAATACAAGAACCTGTCTCTGGATCTTTACACCTAATGAAGATTCAAGAGTCATCTATTATAGATTGCATCACTAGTCAATACTGCGCGCAACTTCGGCCCGTCGGTAGTTCGCACAAACAGTGAAATTACTAACTTTACAAAACATATCCTTAGTTCGTGTGAGACAGAGACAACAAGAACAAGACGCTTCGTAACAACATTACCATCAAATTTTCCCTTCTACCATAAACGGAGTTATGGCATGGAAACTTGTGCGGTTTGGCAATAACCTTGTGCATTGCCGCGGCGACCTTCACCGCGTGCCACAGTTCCAGTGCGGAAGCGGCAATGTATTTATTCTTTCGCGATGACGCCAAGCTGTCACGAAACACAAGCTCAGTAACGGACGCCATCGATTTTCCCCCAACGCAGACAACGCAAATAGCTTATCTGTTGCAATTCCACCCCGCTTTACCACGCACGACGGGAAGTTTACATTTAATATATGTATTACCATTATTTGGTTTGGTGATAAATATTGTGGACACTGAACTTAAGTCTTTAAATTAACGCTTGATACTTTATTAAATAATAGTCGTACTTTGTAAATGTTTTATAAACACGAGTGGGATTCGATAGTGTTAAAACTAAACAAATAACATGTTTGAGAAACTAATATGGAAAGTATCATAATATCATACAATGATGTATTACTATAACTTTACGTCTCAAATCATCCTGTGGTACATAAAAATAGTCTACGATCTACAGCCCGCCTATTTGAAAAGTATGACAACGTAAACTATCAGCTAGACTGCTACTACTGGATAATGGCTCTGCTGTTTAGATGATGTCCAGAGTGTAAGCAGTGAACAGTCACGTAAGATTATAACAGGGTCGTAGCGGCTCGAGATTGGACACGTCCAGCCCATACAAGTTGCCGGCGCAGCGACGTGCGTGCGCGAACCTGTGCCTGCTCACGTCTAGATCATGTAAATGTAAACAACATGTTGTTCTGAGTAAAGCAAAAGTTCAGTTACAATAAACTTGAAAACCAAAACCTACGTAATTTGATACCATCGTGACTCCACCACATTATCTGCGTTACTGACCTGGCTGCTTGTAGTACATGTAAAGTAATAAACAAGCAAAGTATGACAGCAACAGATTATATCACACAAACGGCACAATAGCGATGGAACAATGCACAGCAACACAAGCCGACGTCGCTCAAGTTGATGACATAACATTGGCGAAGCGTCCATTTTCCTGTGTCGCATCGCCGGCGGGTCGTTGATGTTATCCGTGCGTACGCGATGGACCTTGCAATCTCGGCGCGATATTGTCCCGACATGAATGTTCCTCCGTATGTCACATGACGGCAGTTGTGCGCCGCGTGACATGACCCCTTACGACGGAAAAGCGCTCCTCCTAGCGAGGAAACGTCGCTCCGAGAGATCGCTTGAAAGCTTCCGAGTGCTGACGTAAATAGAACGCCTAGGAAATGGTGCATTATGATTCTTCAGCTTCTAGTCGAATTGTTTTTGACATTGCGTCAATGCTACCGTCATTGTAGAGCAATATTTTCCATGATATAAAATATCGTGAACTTGTTTATTAAAAGCAATGCGTGATTAAAATTTTATAACCGTGCATAAATAATGCTTCGAATTAAATATGATATTTTTATCGCCACAGCTTATTACATTAGCGATCTATTGCTATGATTCGAAGATTTAAATTAAAATAACAGTATTGTGAAATAGTAAATCACATCTGCCAATAAAATTGTAAAGCTTGTCTTTACGAAAGCAAAGGCTCTGTTTATGTTTACAATAAGTCATACTCCAAATATAGCAGCAAATATTAAAAATAAACTACAGAATGTTTGCAACGTTTAGGTCTCCTGTGATATGCCAGTGTTGAAGATGATTGCGTCAGTTATCCTGTCGGGCAATTACTTGAGATGTGTGATGAGCCTGCGGAGGCTGTGATGGTCGCGGGGGGTGCGCGGGGTTCGAGGGGCGCTACGGGCGGCGGCCGGCTCGGCGGCATTCCGCGCATGACTCACCGCGCCCCGAATGGTAAGTTACTGTCCAATTACTTCTTACATTGTTGTGGAAATATTAATTATGATAATCTGTATTATTTTTTACTATAAGTAATGTCTTTTGAGCAAGCATACCAAACTGAGAGAAAAATTAAACTCAAAATCATTCAAAAGATATTAATTTACAAACATAATTAGTCTGAAGTTAATGATGTTCCGATTGAAACAAAATGTTCACTTTTACAATCAAATTACGTTCAAATATTCTGTAGTAATATGAAAATTATTAGAACGGTAGTTGGTTTCAAATTACACTTTGTAATTAGCGCGTACGCGTAACTGATTACCTAAGCGCAAACCAACTGCACATTACATTACGTCAAGATTTATATGTATGCAGGCACTCGAAGATACAAGTTCCTTGCCGATGTTTTAATGAACTAATCATAACTATTAGCAAATTTTAATTTATTATTAAGATAAACTAATCAGTATTGACTATAAGATTTTAAATTATGCTATTCTGATGTAACAATACATTAAGCAATAAACTAAAGTAAATTACATCAAAAATAATAACAGACGGGTTAACAATTTAATACTTTAAGACAGCTACATACCACACCGCGTTCAATAATGAGCGCGCATCTCTGTGAGGCACATCACGCAAGAGGGTGCGACCTCCGTAGACACTTGTCACGTTGTACACTGACACAGTACAACTCATCTCTATGCTACTTTTCTTAGTGTTACACTCTTAATAATAAAGTTGATTGAGCCATGAATATTCAAAAGTGTAGCTGGCTGTAAGCGAAGTTGGCGCCACTGTAACTACGAGCTATAGGACGACTGCAGCCGCCTGTCAGCAGCATTCCTCGAGACTCTAATTAACTTGTAATGAATACCTTTACAAGTGCAATATAACTTCACCATCAAGTGCCAGTTTTTTATGCTTTTTGTAGTGATCACGATATTCCATTCAAACGGATCGAAGTAATTTAAGCGATGACTTTTATAACTTGTTTTATGTACGATGGTATATTTTATAATGAAGTCGCTGTCAATGCGCAGACGACCATTGTGTATGCTCGCGTTCGCCGCAAACGGTTTCTTTATTCGAGCTCTTTGCAGACAATAAACAAGCTAACCACAAATTAGTAATAAGTTTATAATTGTTACAGAAACGTATAATTTACTCTTACAATAAATGTCGTTCCTCTTGCTACATACATTTCATACGCTATTCACATCACTTATGTTCAATTCCTCCTTCCGACTCCAGTATCAAGCATAATTTGTAATACGAGAGATTCCACTCGTGCAATTCGAGCGAGGCGGTACAAATAAAAGTTGAAGAGATTCTCGTCCGAAATGCGAACCGGTGGACCTTGACCTCGCCTAAATACAACTCGCCGCTTCCGCGAAGAAGTCACTTGAATCGCACTGTCACAGAGTACGAAAAGAACTCACTTTCGAAAAATCTTTCATCTGTAAAGTTTTTTGTCATCATCTATCAATTACTTATTTAACATTGAGGAAAACACAAACGAAAAAAAAGTAATTAAAATCATTGAAAACCTACGCTACAGCTGAAAATAAATAAGGTTTCTTTTATGGGTTTTGGTAACAACAGTTTATGTCTATAGAGTTAAATAAACATTCATAAAATCTGGTTCTACTCTGTTCACCTACTCTGTGTCCTAGCAAGTGTTATGTCAGTCGAATGTCTCAAATCAACAAGGTCTCGTCTCGCAAATGCGTCATCATGTTGTTATTCCAAATATTTCCAAACATGTCACATGAGCACAGAGCGAGTAGCACGGCAGGTAGGGGTTAACCGACATTCCTATACACTACCTCTAAAAGTCACCAACACACTCGAGTTCCAAATAGATCGAAAGCTCTTCAAATTCCGTTTGAAACATACTAGTTAGTAAATATTTTGACTTCTTTCTATGTCGCTTTTAATAGTATCAAGGTGGCAGTCTCCAGACAGTGACACAGACACGATCTAAGCGAGCTTATAAAGTTCATGGGCGAGCTTAAAGTTTGGTAAATTCGTGTCTCAGTCAACGTGAGCCGGCGCACGAGCTGAGTCACGGCGCTCAGTGGTTTGTGCTTAGTAAACATAAATGACGACGTACCTATTACATAACTATGCTAAGTTCAAACGACTTAATTATGTTGAAATATTGCTTAATATTTGTTGAAGCAATAATAAATTAACCGTCAATATAACAAAGTTTTGTAAAATATCTACAAATATGATAAATTACATTTTAAGTTATTTCAAAAGTATTAAATGTTATAAATATTTTGTTACTTAAAAGCTTGCGCGATATTGAATGGACTTTCGTTAAGGTTCATCTAACATCATTTACTACTTATCAATCTATAAATCAGTATGATGTAAAGATGAAGATGTAAGTAATGTATGGAGAAGCGTGTTGAAGAAAATGGTGATAGTCACTCACCCGCGCTGCAGAGAGAGGCGAGGCAGAGTGCGGCGACCAGCGCGCAAAGACCCCTCGCCACCGCCATAGAGCCCTCACACCTGCAACAACAAACACTTTAATTATTACACATATTATTTTTTACTTAAAGACTTGAGTAATCTACATATCGAAATAAGTATCTTTAATAATTTTCCGCGAAATACCATCTTATTGAAGCGCTGATGAAGGTATAGGGTAAATTGTAAAGTTTACTGAGGTGACATCGAACAAGGAAAAGCGATGTAAACCATTACAATGGAAGGACATGCCAGTCAATATAACCGCGCACAACCGACACCAACAAATTAAATCAATTGAACCGAGCCTCGACATCCTTTTTATTATATTTGTCATCCTTGTGAAATTGTATTCACAACTTTAATAAAAACATCGCTTCTCGCGTTGCATCACAATTATCTTGATTGCAATCAAATAAAATAAGATGAGAGACAAAAAGACGGAGACAGAGTGCGCAGGCGCAGACGCATAGCTGCAGGTCGTCGACCTGACGGCCTGGAGCCTGGTCACCGGACCTGATGCAACTCGATGCTTTGCACACTACTTTTTCCTTTTGGAATTGATCTCATCTCGTAATGAGAACCATCGACCGCAAACAAGCGCCACTCCACCACCGCTGCATGCAGGCTCTCTTATATACTCAACTATTTACTTATTTATTGAACTAACAAGATATTATAGGACATATAGAACACTATATAACATAATCTAGCCCTATAAAGTAAAAGCAATAGTCGCGATTTCCACGTATCGCCAAGAAAATAATTTAATAAGTCACCTACTTTAGTTACGTAGCACATTAGATCGTAAGGTAAATGCATCGAAATACATAACGACGCGGGGAAATCCCGGAGCACTTGGAGCAAATGGCAGTGTGCTTAACGCAGCGGCTCGGGGTCAATGACCATCACCCAAACACCGTCTTAACGATGCTTTAGAAAGTACAAATGCTCCAATATCGGATAATTGACAGTTAGGCACGTAACCTCGATCTGTGTGTGACCGGGCGGCGCGGCGGCAGCAGATGCCCGCCCGATGGCCCATATTCCCGCTGAGAGCGGTCACAAAGGGGAGCCGTCAGGTAATTCCGTGGCCGGTGACCGGTAGTCATTTATCAATCTCAGCCTCAATTGGATGATCGACCTCGCAGCTCCCGCCCGCCTCCCGGCCGTCCGCCGCCCGCCTTCCGTGTGAAAGTCCGACACGAAAGGTCCACTTATGTTACTGGAACAATGGACTTCGAAATTCCCAGCATATACATCTTATTTTAAGTAAGCTTCCAAGCAGAAGTAAGTTTCGAGTACTTTATAATAATTTAAATACATTGTAAAAATGATTCTCAATAAAAATCATAAATGGATGTTTTTATTTATAAAATTTCAAGAGATCGAATGATATAGTAAATAATAACTGGTATTCCTTTTATGTCGAAGCCTATTCAACTTAAAGCCTTAAAGCTTGCCTTGTGATTAATTAACTGATTATTTAACCACAGAGACCGCACACCGCACACCGCACGCCGCACGCCGCAAGCCGCACGCCGCACACACCTACAGATACAATCTGCATTTTGTCATGTCAGTATTCTCTCTGTATATGGAAGACGAACAGGGAAATGTTGAGGTTATTTAATTCATAATTATTAAAATTACTTATACATACGTTTTTTACACATTTACATACGTTACCGTGCTTAATGAATTAAAAGAAAACATGAATAATTCATAAATAGTAACGAAATAAATGTGACATTAGTTTTAAATTAAAAAAAAAAATCATGTATGACATCTGACCAGGTCAAAACTTTTGTAATAAATATTTTCAACAAAAATGCAAGCGTGTAGCGTCTTCACATGTCTTTTCGACTATTTACCTCATACAAAGTTTAAGAAAAGCTATAATAACGAAACAAAAAAAAAAACAATCTAAGAGTGGCGCTTACTTTTTTAGATATAGTTAATTTGTACGTGCTGACGACAGAATGGCAACAGGGCTGACGCGTCTGTTCCTACAGCGGCACGTCTCTGGAGGGAAATTATCTTGTAAATTGGATTGAATAATGTCCAATTTCTATCAATTCTCTTGTTACTCGATTTGAATAAAAAAGTCTAATTTAAAAAACTCTGTATTTTTAACTGGACAAAAGATTCTCGTTGAATTCTACCGATATTTCTAGTCTTAACGTACTTTTTTTATTTTCTATTGTGTCGTGGGAATCTCAGTTAAATGCAATCAAATCGCTTTGTGTACATATCATCTGGTTTTTGTTTGTTATAATATTTTAAAGTCCCGTATGAAAAAGCCACAAGTACCAAAAAGTGCATAATAACACAATGCTTAGTTATGCTTTCATCTACAATTCCCACTCAATTAAAAATAGTCTTCTTCAATATAAGATCTAAAACCTATATGTATATTAAATGAATTTCCGACTATTGTGAGGGCGTTCGTTGACCCAGTAGGCAGGTGGCGCCAACTCGCCCGTTTCACAGAGTCTTTTTTTGCAATTTTTCAATTTGGACGCTTTGATTGCTTTGCGGTTTATATTTTTTGCGAATTGTATTTTTTCGAGGATAATTCTTCAGTTTCCTGACCCTGTGCCTGCGCGGTCAAATACCTGCATGTTGTTAGCATTTGAAAAAAATCTGCCGGACAGAAGAACCAAAACGGTATTTAAAAAAATCATTGGCTCAAAAGAAACGCAACCAAATTGCAAGAGGTGTCTACGACAAGTAACATTTAACTTTAACATCTAGATATCTTAATTAGGACTTGACGAATCATTCCGAGGTAACCTTAGCAACAACCTTCGGTTCTCTACCCCGCCTGTTATTTGATAGGAAAACACAGCGTCACAGCAAAGAATAGACATTGTGTACTCAGCACTGACGTATAGTGCGCAGGTAAATAGTTACGGTGGTATTTCTGCTCGATTTGGCCTCAAATATTGACGGCGGTGTCTAACAAGACAGCTGCAAACATTGACTCGGCCCTGATTTGTGAACTGTTTGCGCGGCCGATGTGGGCATGTGACGTCACTCGAAACTGACAATACCTGACAGGAACCTTTAACTAACTATTTGTAGAATTTTTTTTAAGAAATAGATTAGTTTCCTGTTGGCTTCATAGTAACGCTGTCAGTGAGACTAATTGCGCGTCACACACGTTAAGCATTTCAGTTCACTTTCGTCTGCGCCTGCGCACCGACGCGCGACACCCATGTCGTCACGACACGATATCCGACTGATTTACATATCCAAGCTCAATGAGTTTTTACCATATACACATTTTCATTCAACACATGAATTTCAAAAACTTTCTGGAAACACTAGTTTTATACGTAAAGTTGTTGTACTTGAGTAAATATAAAATCTGTTGAAAACATCTTCAATTACCGTTATCAGATTATATCAAAAACAAATCATGTCAATTTAAATCTGCTTTTCCTCAAAATTTAATTAATTCGCATATTTTGCTTTCGTCGTGTTCAACATATTTAATGGATATTTACCGTTACATTCCAACTGAAGGATACGTTGCCTGTTAGCACCAACAATAATCAATGACTGGAACCCGAGGTAGTTGTCCGCGCAGTCATACACAAGTTAACGATAACCAATCGATAAAATATTAGACATTCAATTGTCATCGACATTTAGAAGTTAATAAACTAACTCGCTAAAAGCACCTAAACACGGACATACCCTGCAAATTCCTAAGTGGCGCCGGAAGTTCTAAAAATTTTTGGTTTTTTACATACATAATATTCGAGGTCTGAACTGTTCTCGAGGTCTTTAAATTTATAGTCGTAGGACACGAAAGCAAACACCACTACACATTAGCACAAGAACGGTATGTGTCAAGACACACATTTTACTTGTACACACGTGTATTTGTGTCTTTGTTATTAAAAGGAAAGTAATATCATCTTCGATCACATAAAAAGAAGAATAACAAAATAAAATTCGTCAAGTAAAATAGATAACAAAAGAGCATAGTTTGGTGATAATGAATCTATCAATATATATAAACGACAACAGTTCCTTACGTAGTTATCGCACGAATGTCGATTGACGATAAGTTGAAATGCCTCGCTGTCGATGTCAGTCTGTCCGTGTGTCACTGCTGTCCGCCAGGAATGTGCAGAGGTCTTAGATCACTAGCTAATCTTATTGATCAAATACCAAGGATACATCTTGTTTATCGATTGATCTTATGCGCGTTCTGCGTTACGTCGCTCTGCAATTCGCAAGGAATGTTCTCACTGCATATCAATTCATATTTGTTTCATAATAACAAAATTCTGAATAAAATATAATACAATGTGACAATAATTTATCAAACAATAACTAATGTTAGAACATAGCTTTTTTATCAACGGAGATGAGCTACAAAAAGCCAATAACAATAGACTCTGATGAGATCGCGGTCGGGGCGATGCGATGGGTAATATCTCCGAGCTATGTGCAAATGCCTCGTCGGCCGCCGCAAAAACTTGAGCAAAAAGGCTTCGGCGTCCGCTGCGGACGAGGCTCGACCGGCGACGTGACTCAGCCTTTATTTGGTTTATCTACGCAGCGACGCCAGCCCGGCCGCTGGTATTTTTAGACTCGTCTGATGACCCATCTCTAATGACGCTATCAACTTTTGCATATGCAATATACTTGCTCATTGCACTTGAATGGTGCATAACGATTCCTTGCTTATGCAGTTTGCACTGCTATCAATATCACATCATCTGATGCGTCATTTTACATATTTGAAAGAGTAAATTCTAATACATATCGCGAAATTATAATGAAGAGATCTTTCAGCGACGCGACAGCGAGGCGAAACAGTTGAGCAAACAGAGCGCGCCGATACTCGCGTAGTAAATACGTTGAAGTAATTACAAAGGGGCATTGTTGAGGCCTGGCCATTGTGCGCTGTTTGCAGAAAGCGGTGTCACTCGCCCGCAGCGGCTGTTTCCGCCATCACCCGTCTTTGAGTATTATTTGTTGCAACGATCCAATGCAAGCAGAATCGCCACTATGGCTTTTGTGATATCTATCCTAGGAGTTGAATTAATATACAATCAAAAATGAATTTGTCGACATTTTATATAAAACCAACCGAATCAATCTTTCGTCTGTATACCTAAATATCCTCGTATCATTTGACTTCATAAATATTGTGTTTTGTCAAAGGTCAAAGCTATCGATGTGTGTCCTATTCTGTTAATAATATCACGAGTGTTCTCGGAAACATTGCCGAGGTGTGGCCCTCGCTCTACAAATAACTTATGTCACATTACGTGTTTAAATTCCTAAACTTTGCAATTCATTTACATAAATATGTCAGTAAGAAACTAACAATCAAGAAATAAAACTATAAAAGTTGTGTGCGAATTGCATATTGCGAAATTCAAATCTTTCATCTGTTTGTCTAACGGTATATTAAATTTTAAGACAATGTCGACCGTTTTATTGTTGTTTGCAGCGAGTAGCGAGTAGCGAGTAGCGAGTGGAGCTGCGCTATCAAGTTGTCAATGACCCAGTTAGGTAGGTGTTTCGGCAGACGAACTACGATGCGGGCGCTGACATTGCAATTAAATCACGCAGTTTATAAAAATGTTTAACCAATAGGAAAGTTCTTTGCTAAAGAATTACAAGGTACAATTAAAAAGTTAAGCACAAACTGACAGATTAATAATATAGTTGGAGCTTACTACTGCTAAAAATCTAAATTCACGTCAATTAAATAAAGCTTTTAATCCTTAAGTGGTTGCCACAAGGAATTTTTTTCCGTATTTGTTAAAAATGTGCATTATTTACTGGAGCATCATACAAATCGTAAGGTTCTCGCAGGTTTTTGTCTAATTATCTGCGTGAATTATTCATGACACAGCGGCGGCACCGACAAGTCCGTGACCTCACATTATGACGTCATCTCGCAGAACATTAATCGATTACCTATAAGCGAATAATTAACGCGCTACTTGCAATAAAATAATCTTGGTGGACATGAGTACATCTATATTTTGTAATACTCCAATTTACATAACATCGATGTGACAGAGAGCCTAGGCCGGGGGAGAAAGGTTTGATCCGGGATCTCCGGCTCATTGCCGACTGACAGACCGCTTCAACGGTGAGTCACGAGTTAACATTTACCTTCGATAAGGCAAGGATTAAAGCAAAAAACGCAATAGTTGCTATTACATCTAAATTATGTGATATTCTCGACAAAGTACAGACTTTAAGCTTGGGATACAACTTTATTGAGAAATTATTAATAAATATTCTCTCGTTATCCAGCGGGTCCACGTACGACCACACCTGGCCTGTTAACTTAGCCCGACCACTGGCCACTTGTACGACTGTCCACCGCTACTGACTACTGGCCAGAGTGGCCGCTACGAGCAGCCGGTTTAATTCCGACTTTATTTTAGCTCTGTGTCTCTTTATAAATTAAATAGGAGCTAGTCAGCAGTTTTTTAAATTACTAAGATTACTAGGATGATAAACGCTTCTTACGCCAAAATCACCCTAAAAGTGCATATTGTTTTATTTTCTTGAAATGTGGATTTATTAAAAAAATAAATTATTATCTATAAACAACTACGAATCACTGAAATGAAATAATACAATTTTAAAAAAGATTTATAAATAATGTTATGTTTATTATTTAATGCAATTTTGTAATCGATTTGCATTTTCGTCGTCTTAGACTCAATCAAATTATCAATAAAATAGAATATAAAAAAAAACTATGAAGGTAAAACTTACATGGAATCGCAGTAGAAGAATAAAATAGCACAAAACGTTAAGTTCCTTGTCAAAGTTCGCACATAAACACAAATTAGCACAAAATGTACGACGACGCCGAGCAACGGTACCGCAACTACTTCTATTCAATATTCGCTGCGCTGTATGGTTGTGCGACCGACGCGCTCTGACGTCACACGACCACTCGCCTGCTCCGCGCACTCCACACTGGTTGAACTTGCGCCAATACTAATACAAATTTTCGTCGTAGCAGACACAGCTGAGGTGTCCGAGTGGTTAAGGAGTTGGACTTGAAATCCAATGGGTTCTACCCGCGCAGGTTCGAATCCTGTCCTCAGCGATCACTTTTTGTTTGTTTTTTTTTATTTTATTTTCTTTTGTAAATATTATAATGTTGATTGACTGAACTATGAATCATTTCAATCATAAAAAAATTTTTAAGTTTTCAAATAATTGAAACATTACAATTTTATCTATTTACCACTTTTGTTTATTATAGTGTAAATTGTTTAGTTTCTAATCTTTAGGCATAATTTTTTTTCAGATAACATTTTGTAATAATCCCATTCAAAGATGCATTTGCATGCATCGAAGGGGGGCTCAGTGGGGCTGGGTACGAGGGGCACAGGGAGGCACGGGGGGCTCGGAGACAGTGTGTCGGAACGTAAACACTGTGCAGCTTGTTGTCAGTTAGCTAGCCCGCCAACCCGGGTACGATGTAAACAGCTCGCAAACATCATGGCTGCCGCAGATACATCGTACACATTACATTAAATATGAAGGGACGAATTAGATTAATCATTATGCGATCCAAAAATTTACATCATAGTCACTATTTAAGACACAGATTAAAAAAATCACTAGCCTTTTACAAAAGGATTTCAATTGATAAAAAAAAAATTGAAAATGGAATAATGTAAACCAGCATTAACCTTTCCCGTGGTTCGTTTATTTTAATTAATCGAATTATAAGACAGAAGTAGTTGATAATGTTATTATTTAATAATGTGATTATTATTGTAATAAATCCTAATATAATTATAGCATATCGATTACGAACTATGTATTGTATTGATACAGTTTATGGTAATTACCGATAATTTCTAAGAACTATTATTATTATTTTTTACAGCGTATTAAATGGTGAAACGGTATTGTTTCTTGGAAAATACATAAATGTAAATATGCTGTCACTATTAATCTATTCAAAATTATTAACATTTTTAACAAGCTTATGCTCGCGACTTCACCCGCGTGAATTTAAAATGTAATAAAAAACATAGCCTATATTACTTAGATAAATTACCTTTCTAAGGGTGAAAGAATTTTTGTAATCGGTACAGTAGTTTTTGAGTTATTTTAATACATACAAAAATACAGAAATACAAATCTTTCCTATTTATTATATTAGTATAGATTACGTCTCCCTTTTTAACTTAACTTTTTAAATTCTCAAGATATAATTGTGAATCACTTATTATGATATTGTTATCATTGTCAACCTTGCAACAAAGTGATGCGGTAATAAATCGAGTTCTTAAAACAATTTCCTTACTTAAAAAATCTTCACAGCGGAAAAACGTACGTCTCAAGAAAAACGGAACAGATTGTGATCATGTTAAGTGTGATACTCAACAAATATATATTAGGAAAACAAATTGTATGCAATCGGTTACTAAACTAAGGATTTTATTGTTTACTAGCTGTTCCCGTGCGACTTCATTCGCATGGAAATATGAAAATTTTATTTCATTGTTTACATTTGTCAAATTACAAATGTCAAAATGATATGACATGATGACAACTTTGCTTCCTTGATGTTAGCAGCAACTTATGGCCTCTTTCCCATATTAGGGTTTTTATCCAAAATATTTACCCCCTGAGTTTAATGGCGTGAAAATATATACCCTAAAGCGTGACGTAAGTGTAGGGCTTTATATTAAAAAGAAAATTATTCAGAAACATGTTATAATTGCTGACATCTTAGGCAACAAAGAAGTGTGTGTTTACGCTTTATTATAATAAGTATAAATATATAGTATAGAAGTATAGATTAGAATCAATCGAGCTACAATTAGGCTACGCAATAAGGTACAAGTACTAACCAAAGATCGCAACCGAATAGTAACATCGGCCTTCGCGCTACGAATTTGGAATTTAAATTCGTCCTAAAATACGCGGGCGGTTTTCCCGACAGGCGTTGCACAAGACAACGCCACTATAGACGCAGCTGCCGGACACATATGGCACGATTGTTAAACCAACACATTACACATTTAAAAATACTATTTTAATCTAAAACGCTGGTATGCGAATAAAAAATAAATCTGAATAAACATATTTCCGCATTTATTCCATTTATTTAGTCGATGACAGACGAAGGCAGGATCATACATTTTTATCGTAACTAAATGAATAATGACTTTAAATATGTGAACCGCTGGGATCTTCTGAGGGTCGTTAATATGTAATACTTAAGTTATTGCACTTGATAATGGTTACCATGACAAGATGTATTAAGTTACTGTTTAGCGGGTCTATACGCAGATACAGTTCAATGCAATAGCATTGATGCGTCGCTAGGAGGAGGGGTAGGAGGGGGGAGGGCAGAGGTCGCGGGAGGTCTTGTCCTCACAACATTCACAAGCCTCTGTTAATTATTATATAAACGTGTTGATGAACATCGTTTGTACTCGTACTATTCGTATACTTATGTAAGTCCCATTTGTATATATTAGGTTTAATTCACACCCGGTCTAAAGGTCGCCATTGAAAACCTTTTTGACTGATCTTGTATGTATGATATGCAGAGTGAAGTAAGAAAAAATTATCATTCTACTAACGAAAAATAAACCACAAAGGAAACATTTAAATCACTTATAAAACCGACAACATATTCTCACGTAATGTTATATCAAAACAAGGAACTTCGCGGCCTAAATACTAATGTGCCAGGGTAATAATAATCGAGAGGAAAACCCTGTGTGAGTCATCAGCGCAATTACCTGATGCTGCACGTGACACCATCGCGACAGTCTCCTAAATATGACAACTAATGTGGCCCCCAACAGCCACAAAGCTATTTTATTATGAACCAGGAACTATGAATCTTACATGATACTGCGATGAATACAAATTATTCATTATTTTTGAATATTTTAAGTTTTAAGTAACGTTACTGAAAAACCCAACTTGCTACGCCCACTACAGCTGACTGTTAAATAAGATTTAACAAGTTATTTTCCTTAGACTTCTACAATCATTCATCTGTACGATCAAAGGTTAATAACAAGTACCTATTCTGAAACTAAGTATTTGATTTATTATGCTCATTTGAAACGAATCTCGTCAAAGTTGTTTGTCTTTACCGATACATGTTATTTATGAAATCAACAATGGTATGACCATAAAGCATTTAAATATATACTGTTCCGTTTGCTTTTTGAGAGTTAGGCATCGATCTAGGCCGTCTGTTTTTTAGGAAAGCGTCGTCAAGGACCTGGAGGTTATTACGAATATTGCGAGACAGTTGCGTGAACGAATTGGTAACGTCATCGATAAGATTTGTATGAGATTTGATGGTATACTTGTTCGCCGTTGAAGACGTAATAAAAACGTTCTCATGAATATTCGTGATAAGCCCTCAGGTTACACTAAATGAACGTTGTTTAGTAATACTAAAATGAGACTTAGAATATGTTAAAGTATCAAATTAGTTACAAAGTGTAGAACTTTTTAGAAAACCGCTATTGTCAATCAGAATTATTTTAGGCTATGATTTGCATATTTTTTCATATTCCGATGGCATTTTTAACGTAGTATCGTGTCAAAGCATGTTTTAAAAAAATGCATTTTTTGAAAGCGAGTCATATCTCCCCATTATCAAGGTATCTCACGAAGATCGATTCGTTTCGATTTTTCCAAGCAAATTGCGATCGTCTGCACGACACTTACGTCACGATACCTGCTTGTCTTCTCCTCTAAAATCATCAAATCTTTATTAATATAAAACTTATTTAAACTCAGCAGCATGAATTCGAACCCTTCACATAACTCTTGTTTCCGCACCGTAATTAAGATGTGTTTCATATTTTTAATTATATTATAACTTTGACCTTAATTAAAAATAAAGACTAACAATGTGTGTTAATATAAAATATGAAAACCAGAGTGTAGAGTCAGTTAATGTATTGAAATAGTTTGCGACGCATCTCGTTACTCCCAGTTTAATTACACCGGCGACGTGACACCGCGTGACATACATTCTCAATTTGCACTCGGGCTCGGGGTGGGTTATACAGCCCCTCATGAATACCATCAACCTCCACACTAGCATTAACACCGCGACCTCACATTTCATCTCTTGTGTCTCACACTCGCACGTAAATACAAATCTACCGCCAATGTTCATCAATGAAAAATATATAATTTAATTTAATTAAGTGAATATGTGCAAATCAAAATGTTAGTAATATTATAAATGCGAAAGTTTGATTGGATGGATAGATGTTTGTTAGAGTCTGTAGCCTAAACTGCTGAAGGGATCTCGATGAAATTTGGCATAGATGTAAAAGATAGTCTAGAAGAACACATAGGCTACTTTCTTTTGTTTTTTTTATGTCACGGGAATGGATTCGCGATAAGAACTGGTGTACAATAATTAATTAATCATTTATCTGTTAGTGATAACGGATTTCATTCCAAGTTTGAATTAACAGTCACTATATAACTGGTTGTTCTGTGACACCAATGGTCAAATCATTTCGAAATAACAATTCAAACTAGCTCCGCTAATCTCATAACAATAGCTCGGCTATTTCGAATCCTCGGTGTAGTACAAGGTCACGGTTGTCACGGCAACGGCCGGCTACAGCGAGAGGGACACGAAAGTAACGACTTTCACCAGCGGACAGCGGACAGCGGACAGCGACGGCGGACGGTAACGGTGCCGTCCGATTGCCATCATTACCACTTTATCCTAATTAACGTCTAGCGCGTAACGGTCCGAGGCGGCATGATGGCGCGCAGACGCCGCCGGCCACTGTTCAGACAAAGCACTGTTACTATATAAAGTCGCCAACACACTAACTTTTGATATATAAAAAAGTCGATCATGTGTGTAACCGATTAATTTCTTTTAAACCATATTCCCATTGCTGCCTTTGGTTCTAATATTGTGATTTAGTTTTACAATAAATCATATTTATTATTATTA